CTTCCTCTAGAGGATGATGATGATGATGATGATGATGGTTTCTCGTCTCCGTGACTGTCCCTCGCCGGGTATTGTCCAATCGACGCGTGTCGATTCTCTGGCGACGTGAGGGGGATGCTCCCCTCATGCCCTCTAGAAGATTGTTGTTGTTGTTGTTGGCAGGGGATGCTCCCCTCATGCCCTCTAGAAGATCAGGAGGGTTCTATTTATACCAAACGTATGACACATAGGTCAACGTCGCTAGAACACTGACGTTCGTCGGTGAGACGATACCCGGTCACGGGAGGAGTCAGGGAGACGGAAAACCTGTCAACGAACCAACCAACAAACCACACATAGGTCAAATGTAGCTGCCTAAGTAATAACCTAGCCATTAGATGACATAAGTACTTGTTTTGTTTGGCCTTACATAACCAATGTATACGTACTTTGACAGTAAGACCAGATACGCATATATTACATGACATAACCTTCAATAAGTTGAAGTAGGTCATTACTTGGTAGACGTTGGTAAAAAGACATTTGTTGAAATTTCCTCTAAATATTACTGGAGAAAAGTTCCTAATAGCTATACCAGAAGAGAGGATCAGAAGAAAGAAAAAGATAAGAACGCCTGAAATAAATTCACAAAGGCATCGAGACAGATGATGACGAAAATGTAAACCCGTCTTATATTTAAATAATAAAAATCACCTGATGACATGGAACAATTTTGATATGTATATAAACAGTGTCATACATCATAAATGGAAATGGATGATGGAATATCTATGTTCAGATATGCAAACACTCTCAACCGAGAATATTATCCAGATCTGTAGACGCCAAGGTTTCTTTGGTTCCTATATTAGACATGTCTGTGAACAAGTGTAATGTCTTGTGTAAGATGCAGGGGAAATTCATGCTAACAATATGTAAATATACATGAATATTTGTTTAATATATCAACTATTTATTGTCAAGATCGGCAGCTGAATTTTACTAACATAATAAAGAAACGAATACTAAACACATTGTAATGGTATATAAACCAAAAACAATGTCTCTGATGAACCATGCTCAAAATCCTAAGTACATCTTCTTCTTTATCTATTTCTCAACATTGATAACAATATTCTCTCATTTTATTTATGTGTTTATCACAAATTTTTGAGATCCGTGTTATTCTAGTCTGTCACATGTTTTAGTAGTCCCTAAACGTAAAAGTACTCGAACTTCGCTGAAAATACCACTTCGTGCAATTTTGTTTCATTCCTAGGAAAACGGCATGGAAATTGGGTGTATTACCAGTAACTTGAACTCGTTAAGATATCATTCTACATGTTTACATGGGAAACTCGATTCTGTTACCCGCAATTCTTTGATGCTTTGAAATCACAATTAGTGGTCCTGTCAACGTCGGTACTTGCAATATCTGTTGATATCTCATGAATTTGTAACAACTTGAATTGATATAAAATGTTTCTCAAAATTTTCAATGGACTACAGGAATTCAGTTGTCGCAGGGACGTACCTGGTTGTCGCGTCCCTGTTCTGTACGTACAGACTATGTACGAAAACTAAACGTGGCTTTGATTCAATTCAAAGTGTTTGATTCAAGGACAAAATCTTAATTTGAAAATAAGCCAGAGCGTAGTGATAGTTTCGATCTTGAGATTATTATTATTTCTTGTAATCTGGGAACAAGTAATAATGGGTCCAGACCGAGGCCGGGAGTCGCTATTGCAGTCATTAACAATCAGCGTTCTGATTGGTCAAACTGTGAGATATTTTATGAATGAAATTTTATGAAGGAAAGTAGTAGTTCAAAATTTTTTCTTAGATTGCGTCAGGACTCAAATCACATACACGTAGTAGAAGTAACATCATTGAACACAAACGACGGGATCGTATTTGTCAAAAACAAACGCTTGTCATAGACGACAAAATGGGTTTTCATCAAATTTGACAAAAAGCACTATCGGGAAAAATAGAACAAATTATATATATAAATGGTGGATAGTGTCCCGAAGGGCTTTGAGGGATGGGGCCCGAAATGGGAAATTTATCAAGTTCTTTACTATCTTTCTTCTTCTGAGGGAATGAAAGGATGTTGTTTAAACTGTCTGGTACTTCCTTGGGTGAAGTAGATTCATTTTGTATAACTGATAGTTTCGGCCCCATAAGAAAATAGAGCAAATTCTTTAAATCTGTCTTCTTCAGCATGAATGACAAGGTTCTGTCCAAATTTGGTCTGAGGGATCCTTGGGGGAAGAAGACTTAGTTTTGTATAAATGATGGGTCTCACCCTCTTCAGGACTTGTGTCCGAATAAGTTAGATTGGTGCAATCTTTGAAATACAACTTCCTCTCTTGCAAAGAAAGTATTTTCACTTAATTTTGCTTGAAATATCCTTGAGTGAAAGAATATGCAGGGCTGTGTAAAATAAATAATAAAAATGTATGATATAATTACCTGTTTTTGATAACGATAATGAAAATTATTTCTAATCTTCCATCGCACATTTATTTTGTGGATATTGTCATTGCATTATCAAAAGTGAAGCCAGATCACTGAAAATACAGTATCTACATGCAACAAGAGGTTTAATTGTGAATAAGATATTCCAAGTATCACAATATCCTTAATAGACCTCTGATGTACACGGTTACACCAACCACATACTTTGCTGAAGTACAGTTTGATGAAAAGTATACTCATTTGTATTTGTGATCGCAACTACTTTCTCAAGGGGAAATATACCTTTATGCTCATAAGCATCACTGGTGGTTTCCTTGTTTTTCTACCACAGTTCTCATTTTGAGAAAGTGACATTACCTGTCGGATGTCTCCGATGAAGCAGAGAAAGCTGTCCTCATGGTAAATCTTCCTTTCCTTCGTGTTTTGTCCTCGCTTCACTTGTTTTCAATCAGAATTATTGCTCTGTTTTTTTTTCATATCCGTAGTCTATTTTCAGAGGGATATCATGAACGAGTGGTGTACGAAAATTTCCCCTGACATTTCACGAAAGTTTATGCATGATTTATTTTAATCTAATTCAGGAAGTCGTTTTACATGTGCTAATTTAATAACGTCATTTTTTCACAGACGCACAGTATGTGACGTCACTAAATAAAACCATGGTCGCCATCACGAAGACGAGGAGCGTGATGGTACCTATTCTATAATAACTTGAAATATAAAGTTTGAAGAAAAAATCAAATAATTGATCATCACATTTGTCTTTTGATTAAAGAGAAATTTTACATTCACGAAAAAAATATGGTTTGGAACCTTGTATTTTTTCTCTGCCATCTTGTCCCTGGATTGTCCTGAAACATGAAATTAAAACATTTTAAATTTTCTTGTGGTCCATGTTTATTTTCTTTGTTTTTAACGCCTGTTTGGATCCTGTTTTTGTTTACATATAGATTTATTCAAATTTGATTTGTCTTTGTGTGTATCAAATTATATCTTTTTCAGGGTGTCCGGATTGATCAAGTGGATTTGCAAAGGGCTGTAAGATTCAAGAAATCGTCCTGTTGTGTCGTGGTTGTATCTTAGGGCAAGACATTTTACCATAATCGCTTGTGGCAGCATGGCGGACATCCATTGCGTGTCTGTCATTAACACCAGAATTAACAACGTTTTAATTGATTATGATGTCAAGTAATAATATTGATAAAATGGTGTAATAATGTTGAAAACGATATGTTGGTTCCAAGACGACGACGACGACGACGACGATGATGATGATGACGATGATGATGATGATGATGATGATGATGATGATGATGATGATGACGATGATGATGATGATCATTGGAAATATATATGTGTCACCTTAATATGTATATATAACATGTCATTTTTTTCAAACATAAGAAAAAAATACAAAAATTATTACTTTACCTCACATTTTCTAGTCAACTCTTTCATAAATGTTCATCAAATAGATAATTCAACGTAGTATCACGAAAGAAATTTTAGAGAATACGATTATTCAGAAACAAGTGTATGCTGGGTCCTCGGTCATAGTTAAAAGTCAGACTCAATGTTGTTCAGTACATGTAGGAAGGGAGCGAACTGCTATAAAAAATAAGTTGAAAACCATAACTCTTGGCGGGATACTGACAAACTTTGGCATTTTACATATGTGTAAAGTTCCCTTCGCTCATGAAGATTTCTGCCCAGATCATCTTTAAAAATCAAATCAAATGGTCCTAGGTTAGAAAGATCGTGTTTTTATTCCAAGCCTTGCAGGATTTCATTTTTCATACTACAAATTTTGTCACTAAGTTTTCGTGAGGACGGGGATTTCAGAGTGTTCTAAATCAGTCAAAGCATGGATTTTTTCACACATTCTTTGGTGTTTGTTTTAAAAATTATTTACATTCTCGTTTTTTTCCCTGAATATCATATCCACAGCTTAAAATCCTTTTTTTTCTTCTTCTTTTTCTTTTTTATCTGCTGATATGTCACGCCTTATGCGTAATTTCACTAAAATTATTTCAAAACTGAATACATATCCATGAAAGGTACCATACAGTGCACAATAGCTTTGATAGTATAGAATAAAATATGTACATATGTTACAATATATTAACTTCACATGTATGTTATATAGCGATTGGGATCTTTGGTTTTCCTTTCGTTCGCCACTGAATGTTTTCGCCTACCGTCAGTGATTTATACAATATTGAATGGAATATGTACATTGGAAACATCTGTTACAATATATTGACTTCACATAATTTACATAATACATTCAAGAAGATAAAATAAAATTATGCATCTGTTAAGAGATCAGTAAAAAAAATTATCATATCCCTGCCTCATCAAATGTTATCAAAGACCTGTGCATGTTGTGACAGAATTACTTCCCTTGAACTGTATCTCTTGTAAGGAGGCGAGAATCTTCTCCACGTCACATTATGTGACATTATCACATCTGCTTGTAAATTAATCGTACCAGATTGTTTGACGTCGTTATGTAAATAGCAAGATGTGAAACGTGACACATATCGTATTTTGTATATATGAGCGGTTGGTTTATCTTTACGCCTATAACAGATCGTATCTCTTCAAGATGTGAAACTTCTTTGCGGTCGGCCATTTTCAAGAATTTCAGTTTAGGATCACCGATAATATTGAAAATTATTCATAAGCGGTAGGTAATCCAGTGTTGTTTATCATATACTTCGTGTACAACGTCTGCAAATTATTTAGCTTACACGAATAATGTGTTATTCGTAACTAATATTATCAATTCAATTGACTTAGAATCTATCGCACGTTGATAGACAATTTTGACAGTTTCATGAATTTACACCAACAATTATATGCGACATTAACTATGGCAATGGAAAATATATCTGTATTTTCAATGGATTTTGTTATTCACAGCCTCGTGTGTTTGAATTCGTATGAAACTTCTGTGAAGAACAAATATATTAGTTTCAAATAGTTTTGATTGAATTAGCAACACGGTTGGTATCAATGCCTGATGGACTGGGTGACAGTCCTAGACCTAGATTAATTACCTGTGTGAGAATGAAACGGTGTAATATGGTTGCATATAACACACAAAGCCTCAATGTCAAGCTTTTAACACTGAAATAAAGGTCTTTCTGTGATTATAGGTGGGTGGGCTACGTAGTGGTACTCGTCTTTCACTGAGACGTCCAGGGTGTGATTCCCCAAATAGACTTGAAAGGTTTAGGTTTACCTGTCTGACAACATGAATTTTCCCCTGGGTAGTCTGGTTTCCTCCTTTTAGTAAGCCCCTATGTGTACTTTCGTCTGAGCCAACAAGAGTGATTAATTCAAGTCATAACTTTTTTCACAATTGTTGAAAAATTAAGTTTAATTTTTAAAAACCTATCTTTCTCATCAGATATTGTAATGATGAACTTCTTTCATAATTATTGAAAAATAAAGTTTAATTGTCAAAAGCCTGTTTGTCTTATCAGATATTGTAAAGCTAAAAGGATGTAAAAATAGCAGATAACTTGTGAAAGTGTGTCAAAAAAGCAAAAGTTTTGGTTGTGTCAGTAACAGCATGATCACCAACGTTCTGACAGTTGGACTCTCATGTGTGCAAGTAGGACATGCTGTCAGTAGGGGATGAGGTATGTTGGGTTAGTAGTGACTTTCAGGACCCAGATATTTGAGCCCTGGACTCAAAATTTCCTCTGGGGCTAACAAAATTCTGAGAACTAGCTAAAGTCATACTTTGTTAACTTGAACTGGCCAGGGGCGTGAAAAACTCCCAAGTTATTCGGGTATTCAAATCAAATCAAAATGATAATTTTCTGTATGCTTTTGTCTTTTCTTACAGAAATCTCTCATCATGGATCCACCTAAGAATGGCATTTACATTATACAGGGAGAAATCTCCCTTGTGGTCACTGCAATGCGGCGGTCATCCCGCTGGTCATCTCATAATCTTCAAGATGAGGAGGCTGATCCTTTACTTGGTGCCTTCTCCCAACTAAAAGATGTTTTAAACAATATAACTGGTACGTTCAGCACTTTCTAAAACAGAAAAATTATATAAATTTAAAAGCAAAGCAATCACTTGATAGTGTCTCTACTTGCTAGGGATTGAAGAACTGATTCCTCAACTGAGTCAATTTATCTAAATAGAAATGAAAGTACCTTAACGTACAGAACATCAGAATAGAATTCAGAGGTCATAGAATATTAATGGCTATCAACTGATATCTGATATCTAAAACTCTAAGTTCAAGGCAATAATTGATATTATTATTTGTGAAATCTTTTCATGTATACAGTACTTGAACAATGCTCTATATGATACTGGAGAGAAAGTACAAGGCAATAATTGATATTATTATTTGTGAAATCTTTTCATGTATACAGTACTTGTACAATGTATAATGCTCAATAGGACTTGTTATGATGATTGGTCTGTTGGATGCAGTGCACTTGATTATGGGTACAAGGTTTAGAAAACACTTATACAGAATATGTGTGTAACTATTTGGAGTAAAAATCAGGAAGATTACTGCAAAAGTAGGTGAAGGTGACAGATATGATGAAGTATTCGTAGAATTTTGAATTAGAATATTTGTTCTTGCCCAGTCCTGTTTTACTGGGACACTAAGAAGATATACAATGTTCCAGTATCTGTCTCCCTTAGGTCACCTATAACTTCATTTCATATACAGCTGTTTAAAAAAGAGGAATAGAAGAAATAAAACAAGATAAAAATAATTCAATTCCCAATCTATTTACTGGTAAACATTAGTCACTGCTACAATAATGCTGCTTCTTCAGCAATGAAATGGACATTACAGTAAAACATGTTTTTTCTAACTAATTTTTTTATGATTGCATATATATATGTATATAGTAGTATATCACCTTATGCACATTGACAGTTAACTTTCACTAGAATATGCATAAAAAAGTTAATCAACGATTATGGAAAGGAAATCCTTATTTATTGATCAACAGTCTTGATATATAAATTTTCACATCATACATGATAACACATGCAAACAAAAATGGCTTTCGGCATAAATCGATAACAACAATGTTAGCAGTTAATGTCACTTATTTCGTAATTCTGAATTGACAAGAGTATCAAATAACATTTGCCACACCCATAACAAAATTTGGTGCTGAAAAACTGGTTTTTACTGTTTGTATCACTACTGTTGCTGTCATTTTTGACGCCATCATGTGTTCCTGTTTACAAAATGAACTGCCTTGTTTTTAAAACTATTGCATGATGTTATTAGCTCAAATTTGAGAGGGTTTTCCCGAACCAAAGAAGTGGTCAAGCTGGACATGGAAAATGACTGTGAATATCAGAATAGCATGAAATTGTAACTGGAAATGTATATAACACATACAATAATTAATCAATTAATGATAGACTGGCAGTTTGTATACTACATTAATTTTACATTTTTTACTTATATATAATAGAATTCGAAAGTTTACAGGAACTTGAGGTAGTATATTTATTGCACTTATCTGTCAGCATCAGAACTTGACTTCAGGAAAAACAGTGAGCTTTTATTAAATCACTTTAATTGGTATTATATCTAGTATTGATCATTGTATGTATTTATTACAGATTTGGATGAGATTGAGCCCAATGCTTTTCTTGGGCCATTTTTGGATGTCATTCGATCGGAAGATACAACAGGTCCGATCACGGGACTGGCTCTGACATCTGTCAACAAGCTTCTATCCTACGGTCTTCTAGGTAATTATAAACCATTTGATTCCTGACATTTAATTCAGAATGTTGTCATATTTACTATGTCTGAATTGTAATATAGATATTGTCACTTGTGCATTTTGATTTCAGATTTCTAGTGATTTTATTATAACTCATAAGTATATACATATACCCTTCCTTCTAAATTTTATTTAAATCTGAAATCTGTATGAGAAAATGAAATGCTTGTAATATTGAATGTCATTGTCCATGATTGGTGACCTGTGTCTTATATCTTTTTTCTGATCTTTATAAATTCCAATAAGAAGCCACAACTGATACCACACCAGCAGCTGTAGAGAATATAGCTGACGCAGTCACTCATGCCCGGTTTGTGGGGACAGATCCCGGTTCTGATGAGGTTGTGCTCATGAAAATATTACATGTAAGAAAATTATTTAAATCTAAAAAGTATGTTCAGTTAAGAACAACATTTCAAAGGTCTTATTTCAACAACACTTTACATTATAATGTTTTTTAATTGTCATTTTCTAAGGGGTCATAGAAATACGAAAAATTCTGTAATACTGGTAACATGTATAAATAGAAATCAATTTTTGTTTTGCCAAATTATTTCATATACAATGAATTTAAATATATTAATGGGATAAAATTACTTTTTACATAATTAATACAATAATACATAGATATTTAAAGAGCAATTTCTGCTATAAACTTTACAAATTGATAAAGATTGTGTTTATGTGAGAGACTTGTTGTAGGTTTTGAGGACTTTGTTGCTCTCACCAGTTGGCGTCCTTCTCACAAATGAATCAGTTTGTGAAATCATGCAGTCTTGCTTCAGAATCTGCTTTGAGATGAGGCTTAGTGGTAAGTTGTAATTAATATTTCTTGAGAATAACTAAATGGATTTTGGTCCCTAATTGTTCCTATTTGATTTTGGGACTGATCAGAAAAATAAAATGGCTGGCAGAAGGCCATCTTGGATTTTCACAATGAAAGTTATCACATTTTCTTTGGAAATACTGGATGAGTCTTTCTAAAATTTCATATGGAGATTTCTCTTGGTCCCTAGGTCTCTTAATGTCAATGTTTCTTTGTTTCCATCTGCTTAGAGCTGCTACGGAAGTCAGCAGAGCATACCTTGATGGACATGGTTCAGCTGCTCTTCTCCCGTTTACCTCAGTTTAAAGAGGACCCAAAGTGGGTAGCTAGTATGAAAATGGTAAGTTAATAAAAATAATCAGAGTCATATTCATATGAAATAAATATATGGATTTGTCAGGAAACAATATATAAATTGTATCTGTAACAGTCGAGTGAACATTTAATAGAAAAACAGACTGTAATTTTGATGTAATCCTGTCTAACCACTCTACAGTTTTTAGTTACTTCACTAAAGACTTGCAGTTTAAGTGTTATTTAATGCCAAAACATTTGCCTATAATTTCTATAGTATATTTATCTTGTGTACATGTTTTTGTTAGGAGGAATATTGTTTTTCTTTTAACTTTTCATAATGTGCTCTCACTGATGTACATGCTGTTAATCAAGGCCATCACAGAGATTTTTTTCCCAGATTTCCAAATCTGCAAAAACTAAACTTAAATTTGAAATAGATTTTACTGTTTACTTTTAGTGACACAATAATTTATTTCAGATTTGATAAAACTAGCATGATTTCTCATATCTGAAAAAATCTCTTTAGTATTGTTAACTAACTAAACTAATGCTTTTCGCTAGTGTATTTTATGTTCTGTTTTAACAGTTGAAGATGAGGACGGGAGGAGTTGACCCATCAAGGCATGTCAGGAAGAAAAGATCACCCCGCCCCAGACAGAAGCGTACTTCCCCAAAGCCAAGTCTACAATCAGGGGGACAAGGGGTTTCAGACAATTTGGATGGTGGGGAAAGAACAGCCGAGGCAATTAGCTATGTAAACGCTCCTAGGGAACGACTTGCTACCACACCCGGTACTCCAGGAGATGAGGGCATTATTGATATTTCCAAACAGTTTCAGGTGAAACATTAGGTTATTTTTTTGTTGGGGGGATGCTAAACTGTGTTAACAATAAAAGTGATTGTGAGTAGAATCTTATTTTTCAAATTGTTATTTTTTGAAGACATTTCAATACATAAGTCTCTGTTTCCTTCACAGATATGTAGTACAAAGCAATAAAGATGTGTTGACATCAAATGTTAATGAAAAATTGATAAACTTAATGTTAATGGCCACAGCAACTTTTGTAAATGTTCAGATAAATGGAAAAAAAATGGTATTTTGCTTAAACAAATAGATGCTAACAATGTATATATTTGTATTTCAAAGAATGCATCAGAAAGAGAGAGACAGGATATGGAAAGAGAAAATGTTGAAACTCTTCAGACAGCAGATGAAGATAAGCCACCTCCAGGAGAGGAGAGTTCTGAACAAGGAGAAGAACAAATTGAGAGTTCAACTCCTCAAGTTACCCTCTCTGTACCTGAGGAAGAAGATATGATGCACAACCGTGTAAGTGGATTCTTTGAAGGATGATGTATAACGTAAACTGCTAATTGAAACAGATCGTTCAAGGTTAATTTTTAATTAGATATTAGTACTCTTTTAAGTTATAAAAAACTTGAATACACAAACATTAATATTTGTTAAACAAATCTTTCTTAACAGAAGTGGAGTGAACCAGAGTTGTTCGGCGAGGAAGCTGACCAGCTCAGTTTAGTGTCAGAGGCAGGTGATGACAGCGAATCAGTACAGTCAGCTGCAGATGTGTCTGACAGTGCGGCCCAAGACGACTATGTAAATCCTCGAGGAGTCAGGTTCACTCCTCACCAGTCCAGAGAAGGTAGGATTGAATAAAGACAACACTTTGCATTATCAGCAAGTTGTTCAAGAGATGAAATGATATCATGATGATATGTTATAGATCATACGAAAAACTTCAAACTTTAAAAAGAAATCAAAATGAGGGAATACTATTCATGATACTGAGTATTTCTTATCCAGCAGTAAGCTGATAGGGCCAACTTACTAACACTGTATCAGAGTCATTTGGTATTAAATGACAATTAAGGACATCAAAGTTTGCTATATTCGAAGGGATTCAATTTTACTGTTTGTGATTATGATAAATAAAGCAAAATTGATTAGCCTGCAAACAGTTTTACAGTGAATGAAAATTTATGGAAATATTTGTTAAGTTTGTATACATGGATAAAAATTACGGATAAATATGAAATTAGATACCTTTGAAATAGTCCAAATCAAACAACCTTGAAATGTATGTGAAATTTATTTATATGAAATTAAACCACTATACTGTAGCATTAACTAGTAATTCTACTGAAAAACAATATGGATTGACTTGACTTAAGACCATATTTGCATGTCAAATATGGTACCTTTTAGCAAGTTATTCCTGTGGATGATATTTTCACCAGTGCATGGTACATTGATATTATCATAGAAATTCAATCCATGAAATCATTAAACACCAGTATATTAGATGTCCTTCACATCCAGATTGCGAAATTCAAATTCAGTAAAATATTAATCGATAATTTTGAAAGAAAATCATGAAAATTTTGACCTATGAAAACTATCAGCTGTACAGTATTCAAGTAATGCCTTAATTATGATAATAAATCTCTGATACTTAATTATGATAATAAATCAATGATATTAGAAAGAAAGGACCTGTGTTATATGACTGATAAAAATCCTATTGGAAATCTCAACAGGTTCTGGACCTTTGATACCCTATGGTTTGCCATGTGTCCGAGAGCTGTTCCGTTTCCTAATCTCTCTGACCAATCCTATTGACCGTCACAACACCGATGTTATGATCCACATGGGACTGAGTCTCCTGACTGTTGCCTTTGAGTCTGGAGCTGACCACATTGGGCAATATAACTCACTTTTATTCCTGGTTAAGGATGAGATGTGTCGACATCTCTTCCTGGTAAGTGTTTCATATAAATAATCTGGATTTGTGACACTGCAAAATTTGTCTGATCTCTACAGATCATAATCATTATAACATCAGATAATAAATGTGTGTGATTCAATCTATATAGCTGTTGTTCTGTTTGAAAAAAAACTCTTGATATACAGAATAAAGAAATATGTTTCAGGTTTACATACAAGTCAGACCCTTTCAAATTTTGTGTTATGAAATTTTTGTCTTCTGCAGCTATTACAGTCGGAGAGGTTGTCCCTGTTTTCTGCCTCGTTGCGTGTATGTTTCCTAGTGTTTGAGTCCATCAGAAGTCACCTTAAGTTACAGTTGGAGGTAAATACTTTGTCACTGACTTCTTATTCCTAAAACATTTAAGAAAATCAAGATTTTAATTAAACACATTACTTCATGATCTATTGAAGAGTAATTGAAATGTGTAATGTTTCTTTTTGCAAATTTTGTGTAACAGCTGGGAAGAGGCTTTCTTCTTGCCGAAAAATAATGACTGTTATTTATCCTTATTAAAATATTCTTGTATAGAAAATATGAAAAATATTTTTCCATTTGAAAATGTGAACTTATTATTATTTGGTCTTTAATAAATGTCCCCGATTTTTTTTATTGTAGATGTACTTGACAAAGCTAACAGATATCATTGTCTCTGAGTCTCCTAGAATATCTTTTGAGATCCGAGAGATTGCTCTTGAATCGATCGTACAGCTATGGAGGATTCCTGGCTTGGTCACGGAGCTTTACCTAAACTACGACTGTGATCTATATTGCTCCAATCTTTTTGAGGATCTCACAAAACTACTTTCCAAGGTATATGCCTGATGTATCAAAATAACCAACAGATTTAAATGAATTCTGCAAAAATAGCATTGAAAAATTGACAGATCCTGAAAAAATTTCAACATTAATTAAGAAGGTTATCATAATGGTTTAAAGAAATGAAAATGAAAAATATATGTAATGTAGCTCAGAACATAGTTTTCTATAGAAAACGCTGTTAGAGATATTGTAATTCTGTCTTTCAGAACAAGTTTCAAAGATGTCAAATGTAATCAATATTTTTGCCTCCAGAATGCATTCCCTGTCCAAGGTCTATTCTCCACCCACCTGCTGTCCTTGGACGCACTACTGACAGTTGTGGATAGCATAGAACAGCACTGCCATAGCCGAATACTGACCACAACGAAGAAGGCCACAGATACAGAGGTCAAGGTCACAGAAGAAACCAGTGAAGGTATGTGCTCTTTATTGAAAGTTGCTGAAAAAATCATAAATTCTATTCAGGTCCAGTATATTATGTTGCAGGAGTTCCAGATTTAAGGTTCCAATGTTGAGATGACCATGCTATTTATAGAAATTTGTCAATGAGACTTAAGAGTGGAGATATTCATAGTTTCTCTTGATATATTTGTAATAAAGAAAAAAAATGATTCATTAGTTGTTAAAAATTTATTAGAATTAGGATACCATTTCTTCTGTTGCAGGTGATAAGACGGAGGAATCATCCCCTGTGGATGGGGCAGAGCCGAACAAACCCAGTGCTCCCTTACTGGGGCCCCCCACATCAGGATACGCCATGGGGCAGAGGATTGTACAGTCAAAAGAACAGACACCATCAGGTACGTCTCATCTCACATTTAATTAATTGTGTACGGATGATATGGAGCAAATAATTATAAGAGAGATAATTCAAAAGACACAAATAATGTGATTCATTGTTACTCTTTAGATGCGCCAAAACCTGTCAAGGTGAAGGATATGGGGAGGAGAGGTCCACAGATAAGGCCAAACAGAATGAAGGCATCAGTCAAAATCCCTGGGACAGAAGAGTTGTCTGCAGTCAAACACAAGAAAAAGGTAAGAATTTGATACTATATCTATTGTGATGATGAGAAATGTTCTTGATTATGTGTTTCATCTGTTTTTGGTAGTATTGGACTTGTGCTGTTTGTGCAAGCATTGACTGAAGAATGATAAAAAAAATTATTAAAAAAAGAAAAGATTATTTTTTAATTAAGTTTTAGTTTAAACATCTTTGTTGTGTATTTAGGGCTCTAATTTTAACAGTTATACACAATTTCTTATATTTCTTACTAAATGGTAGAGAACAAATATTGGCTGATCCAAATTTTTGTTGTAATGAACACAAATTTTCTTTGTAAACTTTTTGAACATTTTCCTCATTTTTTCCTTTTTAGGTTTATTACACGGGCACCGAACAATTTAATCAGAAGCCTTCCAAAGGTATTGCTTTCCTCCAGGAACAGAACCTACTCAGCTCCCCACTTGACCCAGGAGAGGTGATCATGTTCCTCAAGGAAAACCCACGTCTTGATAAGGCCATGATCGGCGAGTACATAGCCAAAAAGGCTAATGCCAAAGTCTTGGAGGCTTTTGTCAAGTAAGTTTGGCGTGTCATACGCTGCTAGGTCTTAAATTCTCTAAAAGTGAAAGCATTTGATGTGAGCTGGTGATCTTGGGAATGGTTCTTCAGAATATATCCTTATCCTTTAACAAAGCTCTAAAAACCCCTCTTTTATGGTCTGGATACATAATAGTTGATGTATCTTGACACAGGACATATTTATCTACCAGGAACTCTACCATCACCAGTATGATGGTGTGCGATTAATCATTGGTTACATGACGATTACATGACCGTAGTCCAGTATTGTGGATAGGTGTTCGATGCAATATTTCATTCCTGTTCTTGAAATGTAGTTGTAAAAATTGGAGTTCAAAATCTAATAAAACAAGAGGGTTGTCTCCAAATAACAAGCCTTGGACCAGATGTAATCACATGATTAAATATACCTGGGTTAGTATAAAGGAATGTTTAAAATATGGTGTATGTAATGCTTTTTAATACTTATTTTCGTTATTCTTTTATGATATAATGATGTAAAACATATTCAGTTCTTGAGAAATGCCTTGTGATGAAGATTTATGTGTCTGTTCCACCAGGTCATTTAACTTTGAAGACTTACGTGTAGACGAGGCCCTGAGGATGTACCTGGAAGCGTTCCGGCTTCCTGGTGAGGCCCCGGTCATATCCTACCTCATTGAACATTTCTCTGACCATTGGCATGTAAGTATACCAAAAGTACTTCTGTCTGTGATTTAGTTCTCGTCTGATTTCCACCAATCAGTTCTGTTCTTTATTTTTTATGATTCACATTAATGAATTGTATCTATAGACAGTCCTGTTGTTGTTAAGTAAATAGTTGAATCAATCCTGTAACACCAATAGTGTAAAGACGTACATATGGAAATCTCTTGGTCAAGTTCTTGTCATTCTTTATATAAGGAGGATAAAACCAAGCTAAAAAATAGAAAGATGAAGACACAAACACTTTTCTTTCGCTTCTTCAATAGTTTAGTAACGGTAGTTGAAAAATTATGAATAATATTTCTAGTTTTCATATATAAAAAAATCATGGCAGGAAAATGGAGCAGTAAAGATGCATATTTTTTTTGCTTTTTATTTACTTGATTAGTCTGAGAAAATTAAATTTATGAACCATACTATGTCACATAAAGCATGGCAAAGTTGAAAAAAAGAGCTGAATATGTATATATATGTACCATGATCTTTTCCCCAATTTTCTGTATCAATGGAAAAAAGTATTTGCCTCTTATAAAATTGTAACATTGGATATTAACTTGTGGAAATGTTTTTTAATGAGCATGATATTACTAAATATTTAGTTTACAAAGTACATATTTTATATGTTTCAGAAAAGCAATGCAGAACCATTCGTCAATGTTGATGCAGCCTTTACACTCACCTATGCTGTGATAATGCTAAATGTCGACCAACACAACCACAACGCTAAAAAACAGAACATACCCATGACTGTCGAGGTAGGATGTGTTTGAGAGTGACAAAGACAGTCGTAAATTTGATAGTTTTAAATTTCCCAAGTTGTTTTTGCGAGGGTTTCTATTGACTGTTGAATTTACTGCTGAATGATGAGAAACATGTTCAGATGAAATAGGAATACTTCAGGCTTACGGAAATATATAGTGGTGTAATTTTATCTTATTTAATATTTACACTTTGTCTTCAGCAATTTAAGAAGAACTTGAAGGACTGTAACGGTGGGAGTGACTTTGATCATGACATGTTGGAAGAGATTTACAGTGCTATCAAGTAGGTGTGATCAAATGGGATGGTGATTGTTGATTAGTGGACAAAATCAAATTAATAGAATAAATAGTGTGATTAAGTTAAGACATTTGTATGCTTGTTTGATTGCTTGTTAATTATCATCTCCAAAATGTTTGTTTTAGAAGGATACTGTGAACAGGTTTACACATATTGTAAAGATGATTTCAAAACTTTGTTTCATAATTGTTGTAGCATCAAAAAAATTAAAAAAAAAAAAAAAAATAAGGATTATAGAGGTATGTGTTAAGTAAGGTTGCATATAATCTAAACCCCATTACAGAAATTAGGATAAACCCTTAGTTCTGACAAAAAATCACCAGTATGACTAGGTGTTTTGAAACTGACATGCATTTGTCATTATAAGGTGAATCACAGGTTTTTTATCGTAAGAACAAACTTAAAGTATATGTTTGCTTTTTTTAGAAATGATGAAATTGTGATGCCAGCAGAACACACGGGTCTGGTGAGGGAGAATTATTTATGGAAGGTGAGAAAATTTGTGTAGTTTGTCTGATAAATATTGCTGTTAAGATTCCAATCTTGTTTTGTTGCAATACATAAAAAAGTTGTAAGATCAAATGAAATGAAGAAATATCTTTTCTCTGTTCACAAAAAATCCACTTAAAGAAACTTCATTTTCTCGTTGTACTTGATAGGTGCTTCTTCGGAGAGGTACTACAAAAGACGGAATGTTTGTACATGTGCCTTCGGGAGCCTTTGACCATGACCTTTTCTCCCTAATATGGGGACCCACCGTTGCGGCATTGTCGTTTGTGTTTGACAAGAGTGGCGATGAAACAATTATACAGAAAGCCATTGCAGGATTTAGGTATGTAAATGGAACCAAAATCTCCAACCAACTGTCTGTAATATATACCACTTTATTGTGTCAACTTAGCTCTCTCAGAGGGCGGTTCACAAATTTTATCCTTAGTTATTATTTGGTCTTTTGCTGTAAGCCAAAATCTTCTTCAACTTCCTTTTGAGCTCATAGTCTAAGCTGTCATTCAGCACTAGGTAGCTAGCAGTTTGTACACAACATTTCCAGCACTGCCCAACCACATACTCACAACTGAGTCAGGTAGAACAAACATATTGTATATTGTTCAAGGATACAATACAGTGTTTATTCAGGCAGTCAAACTAACAAAACTTTGATCACCAGCCAAATGTCCAATCACTGGAATAGCTTGTCTATAATCAACAGTGTGTTTTTATCATGTATTCTTTGCTGTTATAACTTTAACAGTGATAAAGAGTGAGAAGTCAAATCTATTTAATCAAAGGTGTTGCCATGACAGTGAGTAACTGAATGATACAAAATGCCTTGCAATTGCATTAAAATGAAAAAATGAAATTGATAGAAAGATTTGTCTTTAGTTGTGAACGTTCGATTTTGGAACTGATCAGAAAAGCAAAATGTCTGACAGGCAACCATTTTGGATTTGGCAGCTACAGATTATCATCAGTATTTCTTAAGAGGAATGTTCAAATTTTGTATAAATAAGAGCAAAATCAGAGAAAAGAAGGTAAAATATCCAACTTTTAAAGAACAAATAAAGATCAAACAATGTTAGGTGCCAAGATCCCACTTGGAACTCTTGTTAAGCATGAAAAGCTATATTCAAGGCAATTCTCTGTCAACTTCATCAGTTCTTGATCTGTTGCTTTTGATGAGTTTGGCCAATGTAGTCCTCACATTATCACTAATTTTGTATTCTTTATTTTCAGAAAATGTGCCATGATTTCTGCCCACTACGGAATGAGTGACGTTTTTGATAATCTAGTCATATCTCTGTGCAAATTCACCACACTTCTCAGTTCTGTGGAGGTATGTTTTAATCTTGATCATTGTCACCTCTGTTTGAAGAAACAAAAGGCTATGCACACAGGGTAGAAAAATGCATAAATTCAAAGTTAAAAAAAAATATGTAGGAAAGAAAGACACTGAAGTCTTGTTAGTTTAGTCAAAATTTCACAAAATTTCCTTTTGAATATCAGCTAGTTATCTTCATATGTTAATAACTGTCTTGCTGAATTTCCTTATTCTTTTCCCAAATACTATTTCTTACATGTAAGACAAAAATCTTTTTGTGTGTCAGAAGGTTCTTATCACTTCCAAAAACACTAAAAATATTTCTTCTTCTATGATGCATTTATACACGTGTGTTGCATTAAAGCATCATTCAGACCAGGCCTGGTGTTGCATTAAGGCATCATCAGGGATTGAAGAGTTAATTAATTGATCCAGCCAAGACAACATGTCTGTTATTAAAAGCAATTTAACTCAATTGGATTATATATTTACATGCATGAAGTTTTTCATCGCAATTAAATTACTCAGAACATTACTGGAGGGAAGACAAATATTTTGAGTATGAACATTAGAGGTTTAAGTTGTCTTGTTAATACCACTGTGTGAGGATATGGGTGTTGTATAGGTATTTATCTTGGGGTTGGTTTTCACAGTGACTTATCAAGTAATTCTTACAGCTACTTACAGAAACTAAAATAACCATCTCATTTCATATTATATTCCATCTTGGACCAGTGAAATTTAGATTGAAAAAAAAGCATGAAAAAACATTTCTCTGCCTTTAGAAATTAAATTAAATCAATTGATGTTGACTGAATTCATATCTAAGATGTTTCCCATGTACCAGAACATGCTCTCAGAAAGATTTTTAACCGTCTTTCGACCCATTAAATGAACCTTTCATTATGAATAATAATATCAAACACTTACTTACTGTATTGTTAAAGTGTTATTGTTTTTTGTCTCTTTAGAGTCCAGAGAATTTACCAATTGTGTTCGGAGCTAACCTCAAGGCTCAACTGGCTGCTAGAACAGTATTCGGTCTGGCCCATCGCCATGGTGATATTCTACGTGAGGGTTGGAAAAATATAATGGACTGCATGCTACAGTTGTATCGTGCCAAACTTTTACCCAAGGGTCTTATAGAAGTAAGTCAAAGCAATTCATCTTTGAGAAAAGACTCAATATTTTAAGATCATATTTCTTATTTACTTGAATATCTGTATTATTTTGCATCCAAACACCAAAAATATTTTACTTTGAAATGTTTAAAGTTTGTTGTTTGATTCGTTTATCCAGGTGGAAGATTTTGTGGACACCAGTGGGAAAATCAGTATAATCAAGGAGGAGGCGGCTACCAACCAGAGGTAGAGTTATCCTGCTTTGTCTTCTCAGTGTCGAGTTTGAGGATATTTAAATGAGGGAGAGAACAATGAGGGAGAACAATGAGGGAGAGAACAATGAGGGAGAGAACAAATCAGGAGTTCTGAAACAAACGAAATGAAATATTTCATATCAGCGATAATTCACTTGTGTAAATATTATAAATAATAACTATGAACATGTCACCCTTTTAAATACCCTTTTAAATAGCCGCTGGGTGCTAACAGAGATGGAGAGAATTTTCCTGAGGTCTTTCTCTAGGATATTGGTTTTACCAGAGGGATTGGGTGCTTGCTGAGGCATTGACAAACATAGTATTTATAAAAATTCTTTTCATTAATTTATATGTCACTGGTTTTTCCAGTCTCCATGTTCTAGAAATTCTTTCCAAATATTGATTGTACATTTTCAGTTGTAAGTAATTATGAAGATTTATGTTGATATAACGACACATTTGTAAATTTTACCAATATGTTATGTTTCAGATCAGAGAGCGGTGTGTTGAGTAGTTTCTATTCCTACTTTACCTCTGAGTCACAAAACACAAAAGGTCCAACACCAGAGGAACAAGAGGCAAGTCGACAAGCTCAAAACTGCATCCGTGACTGTCACCTTGAACAACTCGTAACAGAAAGCAAATTTCTACGAGAGGACTCACTTCAGGAACTCATCAAGGTAGCCACACTACACAAAAATGTTACAGGTTCATCAAGGTTTATACAGACCCTGAATATAGATTACTCTTCTTGAGAGACTCAAAAACTCTTAATTGAAAAGTGATTTGTCTAATGGAACTTTTTCATAAATATCAAGCATATTCCTTGAAAAGTACCCCAGCTCCTCTACTTCAAAAATTAAAGTCAAAAGGTGATGACATTCTCCTCTCTGTGAACTGAGGAACCAGTCAAAGCTAAGTTATCAAGTATTTCTTCAGGAATCTAGCCCCATACTAGAAGTCTCACCCAACTCTTTGAAATTGAATCCCAGAGTGATATTGAAACAGTTGAGATCCCAAACCTCTGTCCACATAAACACATGTTTGACATTAAATCATCCAAAAGCCTACTCCTTGAGATCAGTGCATCATATTTTAACCAAATTTCATTTAAACAAGGTGTTTAAATGTTAGGGCAAAAATGTACATATCCTTTCTAGGTGTTGTCAGAGAAGCAGAAAATAATGTACATATACTTTCTGGGTGCTGTCAGAGAAGCAGAGTCCAAAATGGTGAAAAATTACAATATTTGTCTGTTCATGATCTTAATGACCCTCTGTAAGTGCTTAGATATCCAGGTGAGGGACACAGTAGTCTTCCTTTCTGCTTTAAATCGGTTTCTTAGAAATATTTTGATCATCCTAACAATTGTGTTTCTGTTTCTCCAGGCCATGATCTTCGCCTCCCAGGGTCCAGAAGCCCACCATTCCATGGGAACTGTGTTTGATGAGGATGCATCTGTGTTTTTCCTGGAACTCCTTGTAAAAGTTGTGCTACAAAACAGGTAACCCCTGTCTTCTGAAGATTTCTTATCAAAATACAAATGTAAAAATTAAGATTGAAAACGGAGAATATGTAACACAACTTTAATGAAAAACCAACAAACTAACGTAAAAAATCACATTTTTGAATTCCATACCAGTATGATGTTCATTAATTGACAGTCCCCACATTGTATATTGATGAAGGTATTTAAAATATTTTATTTAGTAGTGAAATGTTTCTGTTATTATATTTAGATATTCTATTGGAATATCATTTCTCTACATCTTTTTTTTAAATTTTCAGCTTTTGATAAAAGATCATGCAGAACATTATTTAGATAGAGAAAATTTGTCATGAACTGATTTTAATTGCAGAGATAGAGTAACTCCAGTGTGGCAAGGAGTTCGAGACCATATATACAACTTAACAGTGAATGCAGGGGATCACACATTCCTGGTGGAGCGAGCAGTTGTAGGAATTCTTAGGCTATCAATCAGACTTTTACGTCGCGAGGATATCGCATCACAAGTTTTAACTTCTCTACGTATATTATTGATGATGAAACCTAGTGTTATTCACAATGTGGCTCGACAGGTATCATTTGCTCTACACGAATTGTTACGGACTAATGCAGCCAATATACACACGGCCCAGGATTGGTATACTTTGTTTATGCTGCTTGAGGTGGTTGGCGCTGGAGCTAATCCCCCACCTATACTACAGACCCATGCTGAAAGGGAACTTCCAGATGCCCTCTCTGATGCAGGTAGGTAAAAACCCGCAAGTCCACTCAAAATTGAATTGATAAGGAAATAAACATAGAATTACATTTTGGCCAGAAAATCAGTCCTTCACGTAAAAGATTTTAAAAAAATTTGTGAGTTGTTAGAGGTGAAGGAGCGTCTTAACTGTGTCAAATCTTAGAATTATTTTTATTGATAGATTTTGTTCTGACAAATCTAGTCCACTATTTGGGGTAAAATCGGGATGGATATACAACTTGGATATCTAGATATCAATGATCATCTATTACAGTCCTTTAGAAGTTAAATTCATTGTTAAATCTTCACTTGCTAGCATATAATACCATTGGCAGGAGATACCAGTGTGTTGAGAATTTTATTTTGTTTATCTATTTAACATATACTGAGTTACTACAGTTAGTGGATTCTTATGATAATTTTTTAATCCAAGATGAAAGAGATGTAAGCAAAAATAAGATTAATTGTTTTCTCTCTGTGAATTTAACAAATATCTTGAATATGAAATTAAAATGGAAAAAATATTGTTAAGGTACTTCTTAATTGAGTATTGAGGAGATTTTTATCATAAGAATATGCTAGGAAGAAAATAAGTTCATCTGACCCCAAAAGCTATTTATTGGAGATGGGCTTATTACAAGACAATGAAATAGATTTTGACAGCTTATTGCCATGTTTTGCCTTACTGACTGTGAAAAAATTTGGTTTAGACCAGTTGCAATGAAGATACATGACATCATTTTTTATATAGGTGCCCAGAGTGATAGTGAGGTGCCCAGCGGGACTAGTATGACAGATGGCTACCAGGAGAGGGGCTACACTTCAGACAGTGAACTTTACGAATCTCAGACAAAGAACCATCGCAGTCCGTCCCCGCTAGAGGTCAGGCCGGTCCCAGAGAATGGAAGCTGGCTATTGGTCAGTATTGTTTATTAAGACCACTTTAGTTGCTGCTGGAATGAGAAAAAGTCTGTTAATTTGGTTCTTGAAAAAATAAAGGAACTCCAAGAATGGTCATGACATGATTGCAGAGTTATCAAATAGCTTTGTAGTGAAAACAGACATTTATATCCAAATCTTCAAACACTGAAATCTTCTACAACATTTTAGGTCATCTGACCCAAAGGGTCAAGATCACCTATTACTGTCATGCATCTGCCATCATCTGACATTCATAAACTTTTCATTTATAACACTGCTCCTGCTTAATGCCTTGATGGAAGAGTAATTGGACAATATTTCCCTTCAAAATGCTATTCTTCCTTAATGTTTGATTGGATTTCATTCAACTTTTGTCTGGAAAATCTGTAAAGAGGGGCAATTAATTTCTGAAATTCAGAAAGTTGATATGACACCCTTAGGACTTTGAGGTGGGGTCCCAAATGGGGAAATTAGTTAACATTTTGCTTCAAAATGGTATTCTTGCTTAATGCTTGAATGAATTTCAACCAAACTTGGTCTGAAACATCATTTAGAGTGGAGAAACATTTCTTAAATTCAGAAAGTTGAATTGACATCTGAGGAACGGGGCTCCAAAAGGAGAAGTTAGACAAAATTTTGCTTCAAAGTTAGTTATTTCTTCTTAATGCTTGGATAGATTTCAACCAAATTTGATCTGAAACATTGTTGCAGGGCAGGGCCCCAAGTGGGAATATTAGTCTACAATTTTGCTTCAAAACGTTATTGTTTCTTAATGCTTGAATGGATTTAAGTCAAATGTGGTCTGAAATATCATGGTAGGAATTCATCAGATTTCTTAGACCACCATATGTAAATTCTGTGATTTGTCCATCCATTCATCGATTGTCAGAGGACTGTTCAGGGCCATAGCGCTCTTGTTTAATCATGTGATGCAAGTTTCTATATTTGAAGCTTTGGAATAACAGAAATAACATAGACACAGTGTCATGTACTGGAGAATGTGATTGGTTAAAGATTCGTTCACTGGGTTTAAACTTACATGTTTGATTTGTCCAAATGTTTGTAAAATACGTTATCCTGTTGTTGAACAGGTGAACAAAGAAAGTCAGATCTTAGGGAAGGAGGAAGAGGCCATACCTAAGGTACAGTCCCACTCGAACCAGTACAGTATAGAACTTCCTGAGGAATTGTGTTACTGTGACAGCAAGTCTCTCATCAAATCATCCGAGACCCTGTCTTTCCTGGTACGCGATGCAGCTCACGTCACACCCCTGAACTTTGAGAGCTGTGTCCATGCCATTCGCTCATTTGTAGAGGCCAGTCTCAATGGAGGTAAGTCTGAGTTTTTTCTACGCCAATGTTTTGATATAAGAATGTTCTTATTTTTCAATATGGACAATTTTCAATTATTTATACACTGTTAGTCCAGTAACTTTGCATACATGTAGTGCAACAGTAGAATTCTAAATGTTTCATGTCTCTAATGAAGAAATTCACCTTAGTGTTGAGCAGTTTTAATGATCTACTAATACACTTGTTAGAAATCAAGGGACAGCTCAAGGATATATATGTTCAACTCTTGGTTTATATAAGTGAAATTAAAAAATTCTTGAATTTGTTTTGACAGGCCGTCAGCGACCTACAGCACCAGTGAGACATCAAAAACACGGTAAGGTGTCCCACAAAGTGTCCAAATCTAAAAAAGAACAAGACAAGATGAAACGATCTCACTCATCTCCGACACATCTTCACAACATGGTCTCCTCTGATGATGAAGGGGAGGGAGAATCAACAGCTGCTGGGCTCCACTCGCTGTCAATCCAGCTGTTGGATCTAATGCACACCCTCCACACTCGAGCAGCCTCTATTTATACATCCTGGGCCAAAGAGGAGCACTCCTCAGAAGAGTGTGAGACAGTTGATGCTGGACACAGTTCTCTGTGGGTCAAGTGCTGGTGTCCTTTGCTTCAGGGTAATGATGACTGTTGCTTAAAATATTAATCTTGCTGGTGAAATATAAATTATTGTTTCAGAATGATTTTGAAATATAAATGTGATGTTTTCTTGTAAATTGTAGCTTGTTTGTGAAAGTCATTCATCTTGTCTTATTTTCTCACTGACAATTTGACACCTTTCTTTTTCCTCTAGCGTTGATTTGTAATTTGAAGATGAATCACAAAGAAAAGATTAAAAGAATATAAACAGAACTGTCATTTCAAACGAATCCAAAGTCTTCATTTTAGTAACTTTTCATTTAAATGACGATAAAACTCCTTGTAGGTATTGCCCGTCTGTGTTGTGATACACGACGGCAGGTCCGCAGTCAAGCTTTAACTTACCTACAGAGGGCACTACTGGTCCATGATCTTCAAACCTTGTCAGCAGCAGAGTGGGAGGCATGTTTCAACAAGGTAAATACACTGACATACATTTAGTTTTAAAAGAGTGAAAATAAAGACAAAAAATATACAACAATTTTAAAACATTTTTATGACAGTTTTCATTTGTTCAATGATTACAGGTGCTGTTTCCACTATTAAGCAAACTACTGGAGAACATCAACCAACAGGATCCAACTGGTATGGAGGAGACTCGCATGCGAGCCTCCACACTCCTCTGTAAGGTCAGTGCTCAGATGCTCTTGGTCATAGTAGAGTAGATGTTTTATAGAACTTCATACACTGTTAGCCTCTCATTGTCAGCACTTGCAGGTTCTCTGTGGTGGCAAATTGTAAGGTTAGCCTCCTGCAAGTTGTTTAATTTCAAAACATTTGTTAAAAATAAGTTTTAAACAATAAAGTTTCTTAAGGGGTCTTTTAATATATTTTGTATTAAATCACAAAAAATTGGTCAACATAACAGACAGTCCTTACCAACTTTACTGCCCATAGACATCGCCATTTGTCCAAAAAGTATGCGATCTGGAATCTAAACGTATTGCATGCATAGATGGACATTGTGTCTCTGTTCCCCTACCTTACCCCTCCCACACCGTGACTAATGAGATAAGAAATTGTTTTTCTAATAAAAACATATATTTTTACCTCACTTATTTCTTATATAGGTAATCTCTTTCTAATTACAGGTGTTCCTGCAGCACCTTAGTCCACTGTTGTCTTTGAGTACCTTCACGGCTCTGTGGCTCACCATACTCGACTTCATGGACAAGTATATGCATGCTGATAAAAGCGACTTACTGGTAAGAATCTGGCTTAACTTCAAATTATGAAAAATCATACTTTGCTTATGATCGGGAAAATACAGTATTTGACTTAAAGCAAAAACAAGGAATTCATAGTTTATGTAGGCTGTATTTAATGTTGAGTAGTACAGCCCGCACTGATCTTGGAGTTCCGGTCATACAATATAATGTATCAAACAGCAGATTGGCTTTTCTTCGACTCAAAAATTGCCCATTAAATAATCCCAATGTTACCACTTCTTAAAGAAAAAATGACAGGTTTTCAAGATTTTGCTTATATCTCACAGTAAAATTTGTAAGAAATTGAATATCTGTATTTGTGAAGAAGATTTAATTTGTTTTTATGTGTTTAAGGAGTTTGAATGTAAGTCAAAAGTTAACAAATTTCATTTTACCCTTTAAGAGTTCCAGCAAAGATGGTACATGTATTAAGTATAATAGTTGGTTGTCTTTGCGACTTCGTGTTATCAAAACCTGAACAGCTGAAGAAGGTGTATCTGAAATTATTATATTAATATAGTTATTGGTCTTGTTCATCCTTAGCTGGAAGCAATTCCTGAATCACTAAAGAATATGTTATTGGTGATGGACACCGCCGGAATCTTCCAGACGATGGATGGAACCGAGTCCCAACTTTGGAAGCTCACCTGGGACAGAATTGACACTTTCCTACCTCTCCTGCGCCAAGAACTTTTCAAATCTCACCAGGCTGGTTAGTGAATTGTTCATTATAATTTACTTATTTGTATTTTTAAGGAAATTAAGAATGCAACATTGGTTTTATTGGACTTCAAAATATTTCTGATCTTTTTGTGACCTTTTTTTTTTCTCTTAATTGTAACAGAAACCAAGAAAGTAATTCAGACTCAGCCAATCAGTGAGGTCCCTGCCCCCATCCCTACAGATGCTCCTGCCCCTCCCCAAGGGACAACGAATGAACCCCCGAGGCAAGAGGAGGTACCCCTTGAGGGTGTAACGGTTGTGAACAATGACACAGGTAGAGATATGTGATAGCTTGTAATATTAGTATTTTCACAGCTTAACCACAGACACATTTTCTACTTCACCAATCAGCACAAAGTCATCATCCCATTACATAAAGATAGCTTTGTAATTTTTTCATTGATGTATATTTTTAGTTTTTTTTTTCATAGATCTTAAGATCTTATCTTCTTTCTGAAATATTAATGACTTTTCAACTTTTGGTCCAAAATTTAGATGAAACTATGAAACCATGAATTTCCTGAATTTTTTCCGGATTATAAGCCACAACATTTTTCCTCATGGGTCAGACATGCAGCTTATATTTGGGTGCAGCTTATATGTGGACAAAACAAATCAAAAGAATGTAAAAAAAATCATTCTATGTATGAAACCTTCCCACCACTTGTTTGTGACTTAAACAGATCATGTAGAATGCCACTTGAAATCTTTGCAGGATGATTGGAAAATTGCACTAAAAATAACATTCTCATGGATTTAATTAATCATATCTTTTAATACGAATCACAAGAATATCTTCATGACTTTCCCTGTTACTTCACATCAATTTTGAAAAGGCATTGCGGAAGTTTACAATAACCTATTGCACCCTGAGATCGATAAGTTGGTCAAATTCTAGAATGGTGGCCATGTTTGTTTGTGATATGACTGGCTTTGTGTAACCTACAAAAAAAATATAACAGGACTATAAGAATTTTGTCATCATGCAAAATCCTTCAATTATTTAAGAGTACAGACACTGGCTGAGAGATTCTTTGGTTAACGGTTTGTAATATCAGGCCCTTATATGTGCATAGATGATCTTTGAAGGCCCCAAGCCAAACAAGTTCGATATTTGCTATCTTTTGTATTTCAAATGATCGGAATAATTTTCAAAATACATCAACGCATTTGCAAATTTTATTAGATATTTCACTGACAATGTAGATAAATTGTCTTCGGTTGTCTGTCATATCATCAATCATTGGTCAACGTAATGGTTACCACATCATAGGAAAAGTTGTGGCTTATTACCTGGAAAATACAGTACTTGTCAAGATGTTCTGAGAAATGTTTTATAAAATACCATTTTGAAGTTCTGTATGTTATAAGTTACATTAATGTAATTTGATAAGTTACAATAAATAAGATTGATATGCTTTAAAAAAAATTCTGAAATCATTTTGAATTTAGCAAACGCTGTATAGGTAGTGTATGATTTGGAATCGTTGCTGTGAATTTATATTTGCTGTGTTTTTGTGTGCAGTGGAACTAGAAATATTTGTGTAGTTAACAATGCTAACAAGAGATCTCAATGATTAAAATGAGGTACCTCATAAGCTGATGATTATACAAAAACATACAAACATCAGCTTTAATTATTAAACAGCTACTAAAGAATGTCAAAATTTTCTGAAATTCTCATTTTTCCAACAAAAAAAAAAATTATTATGTTACTTAAAATATTTATTTCAAAAACATTGAGCCATCTTTTTTTGTCATATCATTTTCACCCTTTGGTCTTCTTACTCATGTATACTTACAAGTACTGTTCTTCTTCAATATATTTATTTGGCACCATTTTCAATTTGGCTCTTCTGAAGTCTGTGTAATAAGGCCTAGACAGGAGATATCTTAACTCTAGTTCCACTGTGTACAGATTTTTATATAACACTGCTAACATGGTAAGCATTAATAAATTCACAGACCTTTCAAAAACATACTCTGGTAAAATACAGAACTTCATATTAAGCTTTCAGCAAACTGTGTATTCAGACTTATTGTCAATTCACTCATCAAATTCTAGGTTTTGTTCTGTGAATATCCGTTGTCAAGTTGTTTTCTTAATGTGGAACTCTCTTTATGTCCATTTTTTAAGATATTCTTCGTTCGATGTATTTTTATATTACTTATTAGTAAACTCAGATTTTTAAAACCTTTTTCTATGATTATCCATATCAACATGAATATAACTCAAGTATTTATAAATATATATATATATATATACAGCTTCATTTTTCTAGTATATACAACATATACGTAGGATTTGGTGGGGTTTTTTACAAAAAAAAAAAAAAAACAGCTTGCAATACTGAGTGAGTCCATATAACTGTTAGTTATTTCAAGGATATGATATTTCTAATGCTTACAAAATTTGGAAATTTAAAAAAAGATTGCCCTACATGCATTGAAATCATTTTGTTTGTGAAATGAAATTTTGTTTCTGAAATTCAGTCTCTTTCAAGTATTGAATTCAGCTTTTCAATTCTGAGAGTAATTCAAAGTGAAATGCTAAATTGTTGCTTTATAGCTTACATAAGAATGCTTTTGAATAGAAAGTCCAGCTGTTTAGGAAAGACATTATTACTCAAGACAATGTAATATTGTACTAGCTAATTGCTCTGTATATCATTTGCTTTTGACCTTTATTCTGTATTTGCTAACTGGCATATTGTCTACAATACAATAATGTAAGTCAGGACATGTCGTATGTTGTGTGGTGCTCATGACAAAAATTGATGTAAAATGTCCGCTACCAGTATAAAACTAGTCCGTAGAAGTGTTGAAACTTCTGCTACTTTTGTGGTGGGAAATGAACCATCCAATTAATGTAGTGAATATTATATATCTTAAGTGATTTCATGAATATTTCCTGAAAGAGAAATTTGAACACTGTAATGTTGAATGTTTTAGAAATTTAGAGTGTCTGTTGAAGTCCTGACTTGCAGATTTTTGTTGTAGATTCACAGCAAAACATCTTTATATTGGACCTAAATGTTTAGATGTATTTCCCTCTAAAAAGAAAATTTGATATACGTGGGTTTAACTAATGTTGAAACCTGCTGCAGAAGATTTTGGAAATAAATACATTTTGAAAATATGTTAACAATTATGGAAAATCTTGAAGGTGTTTAACAAGTCATGCTATAAACATGTTTTGCTTGATCGTAAATCACTTCTGTTTTCTTCTTAATAGGTTATTCATGTCAAAAGTGTTTGTGTTGTTTTCTTTAAAGTTTTGTTTGGTTTGTTCTTAAACTAGGAGTTCCTTCAGCGTGTTTGGAGCACCATCCCCCAGGCACCCTGACCTATCCTTACTATCAACAATCACAACAGCCCACCCCACCCTATCTACTCCATCCCCCCACCCCTCTCACAAACACGCCCCTCCTCCTCACCGAGACTGACGGGGGCAGCGCGGCCATCTCTGGAGTACCGTTGCTACTTAATGTAGATATAAGACAGGGTACGCCGGTACCTTATATTGCTACACAAGTAAGTCCTATATTATCAGTCAACTGTCACATTTTGCCTGGCATTGTCACAAAACTTTTTACGTAATTTTACTATACAACAATACACCTGATAAAAAAGTATGCTAAACCCTATGTGTTCTGTATTTACTCTCTGATAGAATAACTTTTTTGACAGTCAATAATATGGTTATCCACACTTCATGAAAAAACACTGGCTGTATCATTTCTGTTAGGGCTGGACTTAATTACTTACCTCGGACGAAATGCATTTGCAAGGGAAATTAATTTGGGCTCCATCCACCCTTGCATCTGTCTGTCTGAGGGTTTTTCTAGACTATAACTTCAAAATCGTTCAACTCAACTTCACAAAACTTGCTGTATATATTAAGTTAGTGCACTGGTTGTGGCTTTTGCTATTGACGATATTTCATTTTTTTATATTTCTTCTGTTACCATGGAAACATCGTCAAAAAACACAAAATTAGTGTTGACTTTCCTTTCTGGGCTACAAAATCAAAATTATTCCACTCAACTCTACAAAACTTTCTGTATATATTAGGTTAGTGCCCTATTTAAATTTTTTTTCTGTTACCATGGCAACAGATAACCTTCATCAAAAATTTCAGTTTTTCTTGCTCAAAACTGTGTACATTTATTAAGCTAGTAGTATCTTTTGCTATGGAGAAGTTCTCTATTTAAATACTTTTTCTGTTACCATGGAAGCAGATAGGCCAAATCACAAACTTCAGTTTTTCTGACCAGTTCTCTAAAACTGTTCAAGGTAATTACCCATTGATGTACAGGCATCAAGCTAGTTCTCTAGTAGTACATTTTAATGTACGGAACAATTTAAAATAACAAATAGAAATTACATTTGTTGTAAGTTTTAAACAATTAAATAGAGGGCATGGGGTTAACATCACACTTTGCTTGTTTATTTTCTTTTTACCACATCAGAAACCAAAAGAATGCCAAATTTTTTTTTCTTCTTTTACTTCATTGATTCTCATATTTCACCTTCAGCAGGGTAAATTGGGCAATCTGTGTGTCCAAGATTATGTATATAATATATAGTGAACAATACTTTAGACTGGTGTCAGATTACAGGGGTTCACACAAGGTTTTAGGACTGTACTGATATCAGATTACAGGGGTTCACACTGGGTTTTAGGACTATACTGGTGTCAGATTACAGGGGTTCACACTGGGTTTTAGGACTATACTGGTGTCAGATTACAGGGGTTCACACAAGGTTTAGGACTATACTGGTGTCAGATTACAGGGGTTCACACTAGGTTTTAGGACTATACTGGTGTCAGATTACAGGGGTTCACACAAGGTTTAGGACTATACTGGTGTCAGATTACAGGGGTTCACACAAGGTTTTAGGACTATACTGGTGTCAGATTACAGGGGTTCACACTAGGTTTTAGGACTATACTGGTGTCAGATTACAGGGGTTCACACTGGGTTTTAGGACTATACTGGTGTCAGATTACAGGGGTTCACACTGGGTTTTAGGACTATACTGATGTCAGATTACAGGGGTTCACACAAGGTTTTAGGACTATACTGGTGTCAGATTACAGGGGTTCACACAAGGTTTTAGGACTATACTGGTGTCAGATTACAGGGGTTCACACAAGGTTTTAGGACTATACTGGTGTCAGATTACAGGGGTTCACACTAGGTTTAGGACTATACTGATGTCAGATTACAGGGGTTCACACAAGGTTTAGGACTATACTGGTGTCAGATTACAGGGGTTCACACAAGGTTTTAGGACTATACTGGTGTCAGATTACAGGGGTTCACACTAGGTTTAGGACTATACTGGTGTCAGATTACAGGGGTTCACACTAGGTTTTAGGACTATACTGGTGTCAGATTACAGGGGTTCACACTGGGTTTAGGACTATACTGATGTCAGATTACAGGGGTTCACACAAGGTTTTAGGACTATACTGATGTCAGATTACAGGGGTTCACACTGGGTTTTAGGACTATACTGATGTCAGATTACAGGGGTTCACACTGGGTTTTAGGACTATACTGGTGTCAGATTACAGGGGTTCACACTGGGTTTTAGGACTATACTGATGTCAGATTACAGGGGTTCACACAAGGTTTTAGGACTATACTGATGTCAGATTACAGGGGTTCACATAAGGTTTTAGGACTATACTGGTGTTAGATTACAGGGGTTCATTTGATATGTTTTAGAATTATACAGATGTCAGATAATGGGGTTCAGTTAATACAAGGTTCTAGGATTCTACAGGTGCCAGGTAACGTGTGTTTGTTGAATACAAGGTTCTAGGATTCTACAGGTGCCAGGTAACGTGTGTTAGTTGAATACAATGTTCAAGGATTCTACAGGTGCCAGGTAACGTGTGTTAGTTTAATACAAGGTTTGAGGGCGATACCGATGTGCATTTCATGTCATCCTTTTGTCACTTAAGTTGCCAAATTTATACCTCAAAACTTGATAAAAGTAGATTTTGGGAGTTTATGTCGAATTAATGGTGTGAGATAGATTACTGATTGTGTTTGTTGAAATTGTATGGAAATAAGTTTATGTAACAAATTATAACTGACATATATACCATTAACAAATATCTATATAACATTAATACTTGGTGGTGGTGATAATCTTCTTACTTTTTCATCAGACAGGTTGTCGGTAATGGTTACCAATTCAGTTGATTTTTTAATTTTTTGAGATAAGAACATTCCAAATTTCATTGGTAGGAGATGTGATACATCGTAGGTCAATAACCATTAAATTCACCTGAAGATGAATGCTATCTGTAGTTCAGATGTAGAAAGTAGCCCATATCATATGTCCAACTTTTTAAAAAATTACTTGATTTTAATATAAAATTTTTGGAAAAAACATTTGTTGTTTTAAGAAAAAACTATATTCAGCTTTTCATTCTATGAAGAAATGAGGAGATGCTTTGGTATGTTTTCATGCGACTTAATTAGCGAGCAGCTTTCAGAAAGTTTCAATTTCTACATTTATCCAAAATCATTGGTAGAAATTCCTCTGTTTCCAGAACATTATTTCACAAATTTTGTATAAAAAAAATTGCAACTGATGTAGGTCATATAACTTTCAAGCAATGAAAATTTAATCAATAAATGTTTAAAATAGAAATCTACGCACAGGCTGCTTTAAGATAAAACATAGTAATAAAAAAATTTACATTCTTGTATATCAGTTCTAAAACATTTGTGAAAATTCGTTTATTCCTACATCATCATGCTCCTTTCACTATACTTGCTTCAGTAGTAAATTAATTATTTTGCTAATAGCCTTCAACTTCTACTTGCATTTGTAATCAGATGAAAACCTTCACTTGATCCCTCTGTGTACTGTGACAATGTAGAATATCCTGGTAATGTCACCTCTACCCTTGTGATGTGATGCTGTCGATCTTTGTGGTTAATATACTATAGAGGTCACCAGAAATAAACCGTGTTGTGGTCCTACCAGATTCTACACCAGTGTCAGTTTTAGAGATCTGAGAGACGAACATGTTAGTTTGCGTAGTTTTTGGCCTCCTGCAAAAACAATTAAAGATACACAGGCAGAATTGGTCAAAGTGACCCAAGGAAAATATATGATATGTGACCTGACATTTTTTAATAAATCATTTCCTGTTAATAGTATTTCAATCAGGCTTATTGAATCATAGATGCTTGAGCTGTATTTGTATTTGTCTTAAAGCACATACAGTGTGCTTTGACTTTGCAATACCTATTGACAATATATCATTTGATATATCTATTTTTCATTGTGTTTAGTTATATTTTCATCCTTTATATGCTCATTTTTTTTTCTTTTTCTTTCAATAATCTACTTTTCAGTCTTTGTATATTTTTTAATTCCTCCATTGTCTCTTTTGTTTATCCATTTTTGTTTCTGAAAATATTTTGTTACGAATATTTAGGTAACAAAATTTATGTTTCATTTCACAGAAACCAACAGAATTGATGACAGAAAACCCGTGATAAATTCTCCATCTCATGCTAAATCTACAGGAATCTACCCTGTCCATGATGTGTGATACAGGATCTCATTGGATAGAAAGGATGTAACAAGGCATGCCATTGGTCAGCACCTAAAAGCACAATGCCAATAGATATATGTGATATGAAAGGCCATTGGGCTAGTTAGTATTGCACTGCTTTTCATTGGATCAATGATACAACAGACAACACGATTCATAAAAGTCTTCTCCCATGAGTATGCAGCATGGGACACTATTGTGCCAGTTGGATGTTACAACACTTTTTATTGGTTCAGAGAAATAATCCTTTGCCTGCATTGTATAACAAACCATGGGTCCCTGTGTTTATAGTCAGCATGCCAATGATTTATAGATGGGGGTGGAAGGGGGGCCTGGGGTCGGACAAAAAAAATTTTATTCTTGGGCAATGCACAAGCCATTCCTCCAGTCAGATAGACTAAAGTACTTTATGTGTATGTGATATGTGATACTGTCAGCCATTGGATATTATGAACCCAAATATTGGGAATGGAACCAGGTTTTAGATCAGTTGTAATTAGTAACCTGCAAGATACAATTGGACTAGTGTATTTGTTACAAGTGCTCCCATTGGTTAAAAATTAATTTTAAGATGTTCTGAATACTAAGATGACTGTGGGAAAAAAAGACTTTTGCACAGAATGTAAAAATTATTTAATTGTTCAAATTATGTTATACATGTAACAGTGAACATGTTTGGTTATAATTGTTGTTTACAAAATGTAAAACAATGTTTGATTGGTCACTGTACTGAATGTAAAACAGTGTTTGATTGGGCACAAAAGAATAAGTTGTGACAAAGCATTTGCTTTGTGAAGGCAGAATGAAGAATATGTTAGACAATTAGATTGGTCACAGAATGAAATGTAAGACAGAATTTGATAAACAAACCTAAATGAACGTGATTACATGAGATTGAAGTGGCCAAGTTTAGAGACAGAATGAATTCGATGATTGTGTTTTTGTCAAATCCAAAACCAGAAATAATCTGGCATATTTCTTAGTGATTTACCTATTGTTTTCATTTGTGTCATGTTTTAAATTGATCACAGTAGTTTGTCTTTATAGGTAAGTTAGGTAATGGATGTATTTGAAGAGTAGACATTCAGCAACACATCAATATATGTAGTTCCAATATCTTTAAATTTCAACTCCATTGATGTATGTTCCTTCAAATAAAAATACTCTATGAAAACATCTTAAAAACGTAATTTCAACTTTGTCATTATCTTCAAAAAGAATTTTTCCTTTGGATTATTGTCAGTAGAGAGTTAGATGCTGGTTTATTAATTGGATAAAGAATGTGAATTCAGACTTTTTTCAATGTGTTTCATCTATCTTCAAATGTGAAGACAGCATTTACACAAGGAATTCATTGGTTCTTTTGTGATGGAGAAGACAGTTTAATTCTGTAAATGAGAAAATATTATAACATCATGCACTTGTACAAGTATATAAAGCACTTGCTGATACTTTGCTTGAGAGCTCAACCACAGAATGGACAGTATATTGTTTTGTACATAAATATACATGAACCACAATTTAATATATATTATTAGCACTACAGAAAAAGTGCAGGCAATGACTGATTGACATTTAATCCAATGCTTTGACTTCAAGGTGCCAATTTTCCCCCTAACTTTTTTAAGTATAGAGCATATATATCTTCATTGAATATATCTCAGTGTTAAGGTTAGATGTTATGAAATTGCTCCATATTACAGAGAACAATTGTAGATCTGCTGTCTCACACATTCCAGCACATGTGTAATCCAAATTTTTCATTTTTTTCAGTTTATGAGTAAACAGTTCTTCCCTCGTTATAGCTCAACTTCTCATTTAGAAATCATCATCTAAGAGAGCAACGAATGACATGTAAAACAAATTGCATTTGAAAAGTAGAATTTTTGAAATAAATGTTCTGTTATAATTGACAGATAGGTGACTTTTTTTATATATAAAGAAAAGAAGAAAGAAAAAGAAAACTATCTATAGATAAATAAAATTACAATAAAAACACAATAGATTATTGTTATACGGTCACTCCTAATTTATTTAGACACCAACATCACCAATGATGGAATAAAAGGTGGCGCAGGGGTGTAGGAGTTTTGATCTACCAATATGATGTTAGTGAAACCAGAGTTGTGTCCCTTAGTTATAAATTATCTGATGACTATAAAACCACTTTTATATTTAATTGCGTTATATGGGTCTGACCTAAAACATGTTTTCTATCATATTCCAGATGAATAAGATTTAATTTCATATGATTGCTCACATGATAATTATTGTATAATTTTTAATGTTATTTAAACATATATTGAAATAAACAAGTTATTATATTTATCTATGGTCATTTGGTTTGGAGAGTACATTATCTAAAATTATCTGGTTTGGAGAGTACATTATCTAAAATTACCTGGTTTGGAGAGTACATTATCTAAAATTATCTGGTTTGGAGAGTACATTATCTAAAATAATCTGGTTTGGAGAGTACATTATCTAAAATTATCTGGTTTGGAGAGTACATTATCTAAAATTACCTGGTTTGGAGAGTACATTATCTGGTTTGGAGAGTACAATATCTAAAATTATCTGGTTTGGAGAGTACATTATCTAAAATTATCTGGTTTGGAGAGTACATTATCTAAAATTATCTGGTTTGGAGAGTACAATATCTAAAATTATCTTGTTTTGAGAGTACATTATCTAAAATAATCTGGTTTGGAGAGTACATTATCTAAAATTATCTGGTTTGGAGAACTGTGTGCCAGGGGATGGAAGCAGTGTGAAAAAAGAAATATGGAGAAACTTGTTGGTTTTTAAACACAGCTTTTAGCTAGAACGAATGGTTATTGACATATTTCGAATAAGCCATTGTATAGAAAGGATCTATACATAACCTAGGTACTACTACATCCCTTAAACTCAGAGTGTTAAATCTGAGAAGTATTTCAGTGAGAGGTTGTACTTTTTTTGAGTACACATATTAAAAAGAACACATGTATGTGTGTGCAACTGGAATGGTGTGAACATTTGTGTAGGTAAAAAAGAAAAATCTGGATTTTGTATTTTCGTCCGTCGTTATGATAATATACAGAATATTTTACATTGTATATGTTAATTATACAACTGCTTGTATATAGATACAATAAGTTATTGTTGTTGCCAGAAATCTTATAATACAAATAATCAGTACCAATTATCTTTCTTGTTGTGTCGTGCAATATTTGATTATTTTATCAAATCAACTGGTATTGCAGAATTGTTATTTTTTCTCTTTGATTTTTTCCATGTATTTCAAGTGATGTTTTATTGAAATTTCCTTATCTAAATTTTTTTAGATAACGTGGACATGTTTGCTCGATTATTCTGTTTCTTTATCATCTTGTGTGTTTAAGATTTAAACGAAAAACAGGACCGGGCATGGTAGATGCATTTCTCAGCTCAGTTACAAGACATAAAACAGGTGACAGTGTTATTGTAAAATTAATGACAACATCAAAGTCCTTTGTATGTAGTCATGTGTTTTAAGTAGTACTTTGAGGAAGAGAAAGATTATAAATAGAGTATGTATCCACAAATATGTGTAGACAGAGTAGAAGAGATTCTGTTCATTGTTTTTTTAAATTGTCTCTGATATACAGTTGCATTACAATATGGTTAATAGTTAAATAGAAATTTATTATAGATACAAGAAAAAATTACAGAATTTCTGAATGACTCTTTTCCAAACACTCAAAACAGTTCCTTTTTCTTTAATGGATGAATCTTAGGAATAACAAAGCACAGTAAATCTGCATCAAAAATTTGATGCAGTCAAATGATTTGTAAAGTTTTATTGATATCTGAAGACAAGTAAATATGTGAGATACTGATGGAAACTCTCCTAAACAGTACTTTTAGGTATACACTAGGTTGGCTATCTTGCTGTGCAAAAGAGACTGTCTTCTGATATTTGGTTACTTTTCTATGTCAAAAGGCTTTCTTTCTTCAGTTTACAAAACAGATCGCTATTAAATTTAGACTAATTAGTTTATAGTGATATATTGATGGGTTTATACAAGTTATTATCATCCATTTTAGACAGGTAATAATGTTAATTGTTTATATAGCTTTACTGAGAGGTTTAAGAAAAATTTCTTCTATTTTTAGACAGGTAATTCTGTTTAGTTTAAATAGGTTATTACTGGTCGGCTCAGATAGGCTATGTTGTTAATTTTAGAAAGATTATCACTTGTTGTTAGGATAGATTATCAATTTCCAATTTACACAAGTTATACTCTCTAGAGTAGACAATATCTACCTGATTAAGAACATTTCTCATTAATTAACATTTTTCCTACTCTATGTTTGTGACAACATTTACTTTCGCCTCCATTTCACTTGTATAACCTTTGACCTTCTAGTTCACCTTTGACCTGTGGTAGGGGATATTTATCATCCATTGGTCAGAGGTCAAACTGTTCTGACCCAGTGTTGTATTACCTGTACTATTTATTATTGTTTGTTTTGTGTGTACCTGTGATGCTGACTATGTGATATATATGTATATCAAATATTGCACTATACCTAATGCCCTTGACATTGAAATAAATTTCAAGGTCAAACTAACTGAAGAGTTTGTATTTTTCAATGAGTAATTCACGCATTAAGGATGTCTGCTACCTTTCAACAGGTTCTTATTATGTGATATATGTTAGTTATCTCCCTTAAAATTTTCCTTTGTGCAACTTTACAATTTGAAAATATCTTTGATACATGCATATTGCGAGTGTCTAGCTCATCTGTTTCCTCATCCTCCATTTCGTCACAACTTTTTTGCACTTGTTATATTGATAAGAGGTCTAAGACTGATGATACAGCAATTTAATGCAGTTTTGGAGGGATTTATGTTGGCCGAAACACCATGTTTTGGACCAAAAGAAAATCCCTAAAAACTTGCTTTAAATTTTTTGGGGCTATCAGCACTTTAGTACACACCCAATACCACTCCTTTTTTGCCATATATAAGCACTTTACAATATCTGCTGCTGGTGAGCTTAGTATTCATTGATTACACTTGTTTTATAGTGATATTTATCTCTGGCCATCACAGGCAACAGTGACAGGGTGGTTAAGGCTTCTGACTTTATCACTACCCTTCCACCTCTGGGCCAGAGGTTCAAGGCCCAAGTGGGGCAGTTGCCAGGTACTGGTCGCAGGGTTTTAGTTTTTCTTCGGGAACACGCGCTTTCCTCAACCACTCAAACATGGGATATCCTTCAATGACCTTAAATGACCCTGGCTGTTCATTTATTACATAAAGCAACAATAAACCAACTTTGGGCTTCATTAAAATGTCACAGCTTTAGAGCTGTATATATTAAGGTAGTTATGTTTCCAACATCTGTCTTGCCTTAAGTTTTAAGAGAAATACTTGCTAAATCTCGCCAACAAACCTGTATCCTGACTGAAAATCATATTATTTGTAGCCCTATCAAGATTAGTGACAGAAAAATCATGTTATTTGTAGCCCTATCAAGATTAGTGACAGAAAATCATGTTATTTGTAGCCCTATCAAGATTAGTGACAGAAAAATCATGTTATTTGTAGCCCTATCAAGATTAGTGACAGAAAATCATGTTATTTGTAGCCCTATCAAGATTAGTGATTTGTAGCCCTATCAAGAGAAAAATCATGTTATGTTATTTGTAGCCCTATCAAGATTAGTGACAGAAAAATCATGTTATTTGTAGCCCTATCAAGATTAGTGACAGAAAAATCACGTTATTTGTAGCCCTATCAAGATTAGTTGCCTCTCCATGTCTTTATTGTAGGTAAACAATAACTATTATGTATTAGTAAATGCACATGTCCAAGCCTGATCTGCAAGAGGCATGATCAGTTAATGAATGGATTATAACAGGCCATTTGGGCCCCAGAAATAGAAATATAGATACAGTGGAGCCAAATAATGAATGAAAATGCATCATATGACTGAATTGTCCTCTTTGGCCTTGTCAGTAATGATTAGAGCCTATTTTAAATACCTTGGAGGAGACTGAGGAAAATAAAAACAGTCAAAAGAAATGTCAAAAATCTAGATGGGGAGATGCAATGGTTAAATCTGGCTTAGAAGACAACACCTGGCAGTAAACTTATTCTAGGGAGATTAATTACACTAACCAAACCATTAGCTCTTCATCAGATGTCTGGACACTGTGACATGTGGCTACAGTAATGTATGGTCTATATTGGGAAAGAAGCTACCTGTTGATGACTGTCCTGTCTTCAATTGTGATATTATATACTGACACCCAAAAGAAACGCTACCTATATGAAATGTCAACATTTTAAAAATATGAATAAACTATTGCTAGCCTTTTTGAATAAAATGATACCACGTACATTTCCTATCGATTCACGGTTGACTGAACTCGGTCACACTTCCTGTTGTCGTACGCGCGAGACACGACCATTTACCCCGATTTGCACGTGCGCGCGTACACGTGGCAGCGCTTCGTGAGTATCAGACCTGTTTGTAATCCTTCAGGTATTTGGTAAGAATTATTCACTATTGATTAACATTTTTGATGCGCAAACAAGATGCCTCGGCTAACCAATGATGAACGTAACAGAGCAGTGCAGTTACTATTGGGTGGAAACACCCAAAATGCTGTGGCAAGGGTATTGAATGTCCATAAAAGCACTATTATACGCCCGCCTTAGAACTACAGGTACAACTGCTGACCTCCCTAGAACTGGCCGACCGAAGGTTACGACACCACGCCAGGACCGTTTCATGAGGTTGCAGCATCTGCGCAACCGCTTCCGAACTGCACAGAAAACCGCAAACGAGACACCAGGGACACATCATCCGAGAATAAGCCGTGATACTGTGCTGAGGCGTTTGCGATCATACGGTATAAAACCTCAACGCGTTGCAGTGGGAATGCCACTTAACCGTCGACGACGTGACGTCAGACTTCAGTGATTGCGACAACACCGTCCAAATGTGTTACTTATGTAAAGATGGCGCCGTGTACTCTTCTCTGACGAGTCCAGATTTACGTTTTATCGCTCTGATGGACGTCGACGTGTTTTCAGACGTCGTTATGAACGGTACACCGACAACTGCATGTTGGAACGTGACAGATTTGGTGGTGGTAGCGTAATGGTATGGGGCGGTATTTGCGGTGGTCGCAAAACCCCATTAGTAGTCATTGAAGGCAATTTGACCGCTCAACGGTACATAGACACTGTCCTGCAACCTGTCGCGGTCCCTTTTGTTCGCCAGCATAACTTAATTTTTCAACAAGACAATGGATGATGTCACGTAGCGCGACTTGCAATGGATTTTATACGCTAAAGCAATGTGCAAACACTACCTTGGCCCCCTTACAGTCCCGATCTGTCACCAATAGAGTATGTCTGGGACTTGCTAGATCGACGCATTCGAACGCGCCCAAATCCACCAGAGACTATACCCGCTTTGCGTCAAGCACTTCTAGAAGAGTGGCAGAACATCCCTGTGGCACAAATAAACCGCTTAGTAAATTCTATGCATCACAGGATTCGAGCTGCAACAAATGCAAATGGCGGGCATACTCGTTATTAAATTTGGAAAATTTCAGTGGCTACCCCATCTTGAGCCTTAACGTTTTTTACAGAATGAATGAGGGCAAAATGAGAAATCGAGTTTTATTCTAAAGAATACATTTAAATCTTGTATCAGGTGTTAAATTCAAACGACAAATTTCAATGAAGTAAGAAAATTCTTGCATAAAATCACATATTGCGTTTCTTTTGCGTGTCGGTATATAACCCTAGACAAAAGGCCAACCATATTCACTGGACAGTTTGAAGATTTTGTAGTGATTATGGAACCATCAGATGTTCCGAGTTTCCCCGACTACTTTACTGTTGACTTGTGTATTTGGTAGTGTGATGATTTCTGTCCCTAATTGTTTCCATGTCAGTTGATTTAAAATAATCATGAGCTAGCAAGACTTTCGAGTCAAATATTACAGAATGTGAAACTTTAATTTTTATAAATCTTAATATGACGAAAGATCAAAGAGAATAACACCAGCTGTGAATTTCCTCTATAACACCTGTCCTGTCTGAGCAAAATCCAAATAATGTCATGTTCACAAACTGAGAACCGGTGTTGTAACAATGAAACTAACAAGCATTCTCTGTTGCTCAGTGGCATTCATTTTTTGCCTTCATCGGCACTCAAATTTCATTAAAATAATCACTCAGTCATTATAATATTTCAGAAGTTTGAGTCCCCACTTTCCAGAGTCGAACATTAAATGTGACCACAGCACATCATTGTTCTGTATACCTACAGGACCTTGGTCTCTTTTGTTTGTGTGGAGTGTTTTTATGTACTCTCCTAATCCACTGATGAGTTCTATTGTGTTCCTTGTAATGTCACCCACAACAATATTTCCCTTGCTGTCATACGTGACTGTGAATGGATCAAACTTGTCTGGTGTGACTGCCTGAATCCCCTCCCCCCGGTAGTGGACCAGGGGCTGGAGTGTTGAGTTATACACAATGACGTGACGCCTGAAGTTGTCTGGATCACTGCCGTCTCCTCTGAAAAGTTTACTGCTTACTACAGCTATGTTACCTGTAACAGGACACTGTGTAATGGATTGTACCACACCCGTTCCTGAACTCTCCACAGTAGTTGTGTGTAACACCCGGCCGTCTGCTGTGTACATCAGCACATTGTAGCCTTGTGTACCCCATGTACCCACAACTACCTGTCCCTCCTTGGTCGTACACAGACTGGCTGGGAACTCTTCGATAGTGTATTTTGACACTGGTTTTGATGAAGACACTTCGTAGATTGTCCTCTCGTCCCCACAGCAGAACCACAGACGACCTGTTGTGGGGTCCAGACTAATGTCTGTGAGGTCACTCTTATGCTGAATCTCCTGTAAGACTTTGGCTTTCTTGGTGAGAGGCCTACTTTTGTTGCTTATAAGTTTAACAGTATTAGTGTGCATGTTGCAAAGCCATGCACGTCCATCAGGTGTAGGACAAATTGATGTAATCCCATGTTGGTATAACAACTGGGTTATCACAGTGGAACTTTCAAGAAACCTATACAGGACTGTCCCAGATGATCGACCCGACACTCCAATGTTGGAAAATTTTGGCCCCGTAACTAAACCTTGGGCGGAGTTGCGAGACCCCGACTTTACAAGGTTGGGAGAAATTTTCATATCCCCCATGGCCTGCTTAAGGAGACTTTGCAGGTCTTTATTTAAAGTAAACTCTGCCATGTCTATGTTTGGTGTCGGCGGGAAGTCGAGGTCCATCTCATGGACTTCTGATACAGAATCATATACGTGTACAGCAGTTCCTGTCTGGAGAGTCTGTTTACACTCTGATGATATTTTCTCCAAAGCTTCCAACTTTTCCTCAAGATTACTGACATGTGTTTGCAAGAGGTATGAAGTGGCTTTTTCCATGTTTTCACATATTGCTATATACTCCTCTGTTATTTTGTCAATTTCTAGCTTGCAGCGATCTCTTTGTTTAAAGATACTTTCAGAAATTGTTTTGTATTTTTGTTCAAATGTAGAAAGTTTTCTCTGAGAAGACATAATTTCCTCTTTAAGTTTCGGAATTTCTTCATTATCCGTTTGATTAACAAAAGCCTGAAGGTTACTTTTTTGCTCATTGTGAATTTTAGATAGTTCACGAAAACTGTCTATATGTGTTTTGTGTGAAGTGATGGAACAAGTGACACATATCAATATGTTACAGTCTTGGCATTGAAGAATCACATCATTGTCGCTGTGACTTGGACATCTGGAGTTCCCTTTGGTTCGGATAGGATACTGTTGACGGAGAATGGAGCGCCCGTATTTTGACGCCATGATAGGTAGGTAATCGTAGTGTAAGGATATGTAGATCTTCTCAAATATGCATCTGTAAAAGAAAAATAGAAAAATAATGCCAATGAATTAAATTGGTGATAAGATTTTTTGTCAATTCATAAAACATTTCGCAATTTAAACAGAGGAGGAGAACGAAACGTTTATAAAAATTTAACTATATATAAATACGTACACCATGCCACTTACACCACGGACATTTCTCTTTTAAAAAATCTACTCCTCTTGTACGGCTGCGTGATTCATCATTATGCCAGTTAATCAAACCTCTCCTGTTGCACGATTTACAGGTCTGAAGATCTTTGGTAAAGAACATTCTCCAGTAGATTCCTTCACATAAGCATAATACAGGTTTAACGAAATGTAGTGTTTGACAACATTTAGGCTAGTGAATCATTGGTACAAAATAAAGGAATGTTATTATTGGAATACGACAGTAACCCGAGACAAGAGGTGATAATTTGTTGGAAATACATCTTTTAAAACGACTTCGAACAGCAACTAGCTTCGATTGGAAATATGGAAAGGGCAAGAAATGGCGTTTTACATGTTTTAAAGTTTGTGATATCCTAAGGCTACAAGATATAACTGGAATAAAAAAAAACGAGGCCAGCCTATTTCTGCTTTAATCCAATTTTAGTAAAAACCAACTACTTGTGTCTTTACTGCACTAAGACCAATAAGATTGATGAAAAGTTGAACCCCACTGCCCATATTGTTCCTGGTTAATTATATAAAACATTGTGGGGAATGAATATTTGCATGATACCTTGATTAAAACCTCCACACTCTGGACAAAGATAACACTACACAGGGCCATACAGAAGTCTTCAGGAGAGTTATAGGAACGTCCTAGGATCGTAAATATTATGATGAAGTTTTACGGTCGTCATAAAGATCGTAATGAGAAACATCCTATTTCTTTTTGTGATATGAATTCGGGCGTGTTTGATGTTCTTAAAGTATGCCTCGTGGTTCTGCTATTAATTACTTTGTTCTCATTTGGAAACGTGACATCACTTATTTGGATTGACCAGGATTTACATGATGAAACAGAAGACGCTTACTCTTCCGGCGGGGGTGGGGGGTGGGGGGACACTTGGTTATTTTCTTTTGTTCGTATTTTGCCCTAGTTTTATCGAATTTTAGTTTAAATCGAGATCCTGTTGACATGCCATGTATATTTTTCGTGGTTTTTGTTGCCATTGTACTTCAGCAGCTTAGCTCAACTATCGTACCATAAAACCACATCGGATGTGGCGCTTCCTTTATCATGCATTATGCTAGGGGTTTGATTCACTGGTCTTATCGCATGAATTTTGACAGTTGTACGAGAGGAATGGATTTTAATGAGAAAATATTCACGTTTAAAATGGACGATGTCGCACTTGAGACAAGATTATGCAGTCGAATTCCTAGTGTGGGTCTACTGTACCTAATTGTTAATATGTTCTAAAAGGTGTTATTCACTTGTGTGTTTTAGGAACAATCTGTAACGAACATTTAGATATAAAATGAGCGATATGATAATGATAAATTCTATTAAAACCACCGTTTTACATTATATTGTTAAAGACATCGCAGATCATTACTGATTTTTGTATGTGTGATCGATAGATCAATACTAAGTCTGATTAGAAATGAGATTTGAAATAACTACGTGAAATGAATAGTTTTGTTACTGAGGTTGGGGAATACTTAGGGACTTATAATGATGTCACGAAAAGGGGGTTATTTGTAGTGATCAAATGATTGCTCAGACAAAACTATGTAAGAAATGTTCGTGGATGGTGTATATTGAATTTTGACTAGTCTGTCTGTGTCGTCCGTACCTGCGTCTGTGAAAATTTGTCTGCGCTCCAGCGGCTTCAATCCTTGAGGATTTTTCTTCAAACTTTACACACTTATCAAGCATCAAAATATCTTGGACATGTCAAGGCCACTATTACTATTTTTAGAAAAAAAGCAAATCATTATTGTAATATCATGTTGGGGTCGGTAGGGACATGAATTTCTTTAGCAGTATTCGGTAATATTGTCTTGTGATGCATCCCAAGTGTGTGAAGAGAACGTTTCAATACTAGGTACAGACGGACTGATTTTTTAAGGACTTTTCGTAGACGCATTTATGAAAATAAATCACGTGGTAAGGTCAATTGGTGTATCGACAAGGTAGAAGTGTTATTCAGATGTCTACATTTCCATATGCCAAGCATTATGTAAGGTGTCAGTGATAAAATTCTTTAGAAATAAGATATACCCATGTAAATATACGTCTGTGTATATGACACAGCAGTTCCTTTGTTATTTCGGAAACTTATGTAGGGTTGTCATTCATGAGCAAAATAATGCTTTAGAGTAAGTTATTCATCTACCGCCAGTTTAATGATGGTATTGCCCAGAAAAAATCAAATATACTGTAACTGACAATCAAGGAGATGGTCGTGCTTCTGTTCAAGTGAAGACCACCGTCAGAAAGATTTTTAAATGTCTACAAAGACTGAAACGTAAAGGACAAAACAGTGTTATAAAAGGAACTTCTGGCAAAAGTTAACAGGGCAGTAAAATATCACACAGAAGTTAACAGGGAAGTAAAATATCACACAGAAGTTAACAGGGAAGTAAAATATCACACAGAGGTTAATGGGGAAGTTAAATATCACACAGAAGTTAACAGGGAAGTAAAATATCACACAGAAGTTAACAGGGAAGTAAAATATCACACAGAAGTTAACAGGGAAGTAAAATATCACACAGAAGTTAACAGGGAAGTAAATTATCACACAGAAGTTAACAGGGAAGTAAATTATCACACAGAAGTTAACAGGGAAGTAAATTATCACACAGAAGTTAACAGGGACGTTAAATATCACACAGAAGTTAACAGGGAAGTAAAATATCAAACAGAAGTTAACAGGGAAGTAAAATATCACACAGAAGTTAACAGGGAAGTAAAATATCACACAGAAGTTAACAGGGAAGTAAAATATCACACAGAAGTTAACAGGGAAGTAAATTATCACACAGAAGTTAACAGGGAAGTAAAATATCACACAGAAGTTAACAGGGAAGTAAAATATCACACAGAAGTTAACAGGGAAGTAAAATATCACACAGAAGTTAACAGGGAAGTAAAATATCACACAGAAGTTAACAGGGAAGTAAAATATCACACAGAAGTTAACAGGGAAGTAAAATATCACACAGAAGTTAACAGTAAAATATCACACAGGTTAACAAGTAAAATATCACACAGAAGTTAACAGGGAAGTAAAATATCACACAGAAGTTAACAGGGAAGTAAAATATCACACAGAAGTTAACAGGGAAGTAAAATATCACACAGAAGTTAACAGGGAAGTAAAATATCACACAGAAGTTAACAGGGAAGTAAAATATCACACAGAAGTTAACAGGGAAGTAAAATATCACACACAGAAGTTAACAGGGAAGTAAAATATCACACAGAAGTTAACAGGGAAGTAAAATATCACACAGAAGTTAACAGGGAAGTAAAATATCACACAGAAGTTAACAGGGAAGTAAAATATCACACAGAGGTTAACAGGGAAGTAAAATATCACACAGAAGTTAACAGGGAAGTAAAATATCACACAGAAGTTAACAGGGAAGTAAAATATCACACAGAAGTTAACAGGGAAGTAAATTATCACACAGAAGTTAACAGGGAAGTAAAATATCACACAGAAGTTCAACAGGGAAGTTAACAGGGAAGTAAAATATCACACAGAAGTTAACAGGGAAGTAAAATATCACACAGAAGTTAACAGGGAAGTAAAATATCACACAGAAGTTAACAGGGAAGTAAAATATCACACAGAAGTTAACAGGGAAGTAAATTATCACACAGAAGTTAACAGGGAAGTAAAATATCACACAGAAGTTAACAGGGAAGTAAAATATCACACAGAAGTTAACAGGGAAGTAAAATATCACACAGAAGTTAACAGGGAAGTTAAATATCACACAGAAGTTAACAGGGAAGTAAAATATCACACAGAAGTTAACAGGGAAGTAAAATATCACACAGAAGTTAACAGGGAAGTTAAATATCACACAGAAGTTAATAGGGAAGTAAAATATCAAACAGAAGTTAACAGGGAAGTAAATTATCACACAGAAGTTAACAGGGAAGTAAAATATCACACAGAAGTTAACAGGGAAGTAAAATATCACACAGAAGTTAACAGGGAAGTAAAATATCACACAGAAGTTAACAGGGAAGTAAAATATCACACAGAAGTTAACAGGGAAGTAAAATATCACACAGAAGTTAACAGGGAAGTAAAATATCACACAGAACACAGAAGTTAACAGGGAAGTTAAATATCACACAGAAGTTAAGAGGGAAGTAAAAATCACACACAAGTTAACAAGGAAGTAAAATATCACACAGGGAAGTAAAATATCACACAGAAGTTATTTGGCAAGTAAAATATCACACAGATGTTAACAGGGAAAATCACACAATCAGGGCAGTAAAATCACACAGAGAGAAATAAAATGAATAAAAATATAGACTTTGTAAATTAACTGACCACTAATGAGTAAAAATTGAGAAAATGATCCTGTAGGTCGAAAATGTCGTCAGATGACATACGAGCAAATGATGATGTTGTTACATGAAAGACAGCATAACTGATGAAAACCAGCTCAATCTACAGGCAACAAATTCCTGCAACTTACCAGCGGTACAAAGTCAAATAATAACTACCTCCAAAGTTAGTGGAATGTTTAAAGTGTCCAAACTTACCAATGTTATAAGACGATGCATGATCCGTGATGGTCACAAAATATACCAGGAAAATTGACACTTGTCCTACACGAATCAGATAAAGACGAGAATGCGCGCATCATACTAAACCGGGAAGTGGAACAGAAATGTATGAAAATGTATACTGAAACCAGTTTGTGTTACATAATCCAGTTGCTTACATATCTATAAAGAAAATAGCTGTGATGAATTTCCCATTTGTTTCTCCGTTTGTTTGGTTTATCGTCCAGTGAACAGCTATGGTCTTCTTGTAGCAACCTGTGGCTCACTGAACAGCATATGGGAGGTCCACCGCACGCTTTCCAGATTAATTACGGTAAACCCAATGACACAGCCACGTCAGCACAGATCGGTCCATCTCTAATATTCCTGATGAGTATAAATCACCACAGCTAAGTCCTATTATTCCTTTACGTTAATGTTGTTTTATGGTAAAAACTTACTTTAAGCATTCCAGTAGAGGCAGCTATATGAAAATAGAGGAAGAAGTGGCCTTATTGATCTTATAACTAGAAAACTGGAGATCTTCTGCTAAATAGTCTTTCATAAACTGGAAATGGTTGCTTATCTTAATTAATTAATGATGTTTGAATTGTACTGTGCAATTCACTCGATTTTTAAGAGAAAGAAAGATTAAAGTGAAAATAACATTTCTGTTCTTTCAAAACTTATCAGTTTGGGACAAGCATTTTAACACTAGATTGTGCAAATATCGGAGACTCCAGTCCAGCTGACATGTACATGAATAAAGATGACCATGATGGTCTTGTACTTACCAACAGATAGGAAAGGCTGACCATGATGCTCCTGTACTGACCAACAGATGGGAAAGGCTGACCATGATGGTCCTGTACTGACCAACAGATGGGAAAGGCTGACCATGATTGTCCTGTACTGACCAACAGACGGGAAAGGCTGACCATGATTGTCCTGTACTGACCAACAGACGGGAAAGGCTGACCATGCTGGTCATGTACTGACCAACAGACGGGAAAGGCTGACCATGATTGTCCTGTACTGACCAACAGATGGGAAAGGCTGACCATGATTGTCCTGTACTGACCAACAGACGGGAAAGACTGACCATGCTGGTCATGTACTGACCAACAGACCGGAAAGGCTGACCATGATTGTCATGTACTGACCAACAGACGGGAAAGGCTGACCATGCTGATCATGTACTGACCAACAGATGGGAAAAGCTGACCATGATTGTCCTGTACTGACCAACAGACGGGAAAGGCTGACCATGATTGTCCTGTACTGACCAACAGATTGGAAAGGCTGGCCATGATAGTCCTGTACTGACCAACAGACGGGAAAGGCTTACCATAATGATCACATTTTCTACAAAGTATGGGATGGCCGTATTAGTATATTCGAATTATTGGTTTCACTAATTCATTTATTGATATCATTAATTCGAACCATTGAGATCATTAAATGAATTGTTGATATCACTAATTGAAGTAATGATATCGCTAAATCCCAGAATTCTTGATGTCATATTTTGAAGATTAATACTAAGACGGAGCCCCATAACAAAGCACAAGTTACTGACTGTACAATCAACCTTTATGTATCCCGATCCATGGCTTAATAACAGGAAGCTGAAATTTTAATTAAAAATTCATACTACCTGTGCTGATAAGCTGAAAAAGTAACAAGTTTCAATTATAAATTTTTTGCATTTTGATATTTGATTTTTCAGTTTGTTTCGGTATCGGCTCAAACTTGTACCAATTTTTGAAAATGTGATTGGAGTTTTTTCCTTATCTTAAAGGATTAGTTAAAAAGTTGGAAATTAGTAGTAGTGTGTGCGCTGTAAAATAAAAATAATTGAAACCGGGAAAACCCCAATATTTTAGTGTAGTAGCGTGTGGTACCTTAAAAAATAACTTATGACACATAGCAAGGGACAGACATGGTGTGATGGTGGTGGTAGTGGTGGTGGTGATAGTGGGGGTGGGGCGGGGAAAAGGGACGAAAATTGGGAGTCAGGGAGGTTGGAACAGGGAGCTAAGGGACCGGGAAGCGACGAGAAGAAATATTTTTGTACACACAATTCCATGTAGGAGAGCCGCAGTCCGTGTGTCACGACAGGGCTGCCGTAATACTTATATAGACTGTGAGTAATACTCAGTATCAGGTTGGACGGAGACAATGTTTGTCGATCGTCAGGTAAATATTTTACTGTCGGAAGACGAACTTCACATGTCAAATGTAACAGAGACAGATTCTGGTAAGTGTTATGATTTAGAAGGAAATCATTCAATATTTTCTTTGACGATTTGTGAATATTATGCGGGCCACCGAGACATGCGTTTATATGGTTTAGGACGCGTTTGTAGTTTAATGTCTATTTAACTTTCGTGTTTACATGTAGCAATATCAGATAATGTAACTGAGTTGGGGTCATTTATTATTATTCATCGTGTTGTTGTTGTTGTTGTTGTTGTTGTTGTTGTTGTTGTTGTTGTTGTTGTTGTTGTTGTTGTTGTTGTTTTGTTAAGTCTGTAATACTATTGCAACATAAATTATATTAAATGACATTACAGATGCGAAGCCCAATACTGTTGCACCAGTTATGTTGCCGATGATGAATCTGATTCATGCCCACTGCTCAATAGCGTGGTCTTAAATAGATCATCATCTGTTTAACATTGCTAATTAATGCATGTTGACGAGTTCGACATTTCCATCGCTTTATACCTGGTTAAACCCGTGTTATCTGCTGACTAGACACTACAGGGAGGAAAACTAATACATTTACATCGCGAGGATCTCAATATGACGCTTAAACACTCCAGAACAATAGCTCGAATTGTACTTTCTGTTTTTCATGAATCATTGCTAAATCCCTTACTTGCTTACATTTTGCTATCGTTAACGGATTTCATGTTCGTATTAAGATTTTGTTTTCATATTGTATTATCTTCCTGGTTTTCTTTGTAAGCATTGTACTTGTGCGGGGTGGCTTGGAAATATCGCAACTGGTCTGGAAAAAAAGCAAAAATCTCAAAGTCTTGTCTATAATTGCCAACATTTGCATGTTAATTCCACTTTGGATTGTTGAGTGATTTTGCAAATATTAAACCTACACTTTCCGCTCGTCATTCTTTTTTTGGTGTATGTATACTCTTTGCAATCGGGAAATGTCGGTTCTTATTAACGGAAATTGCCAAAGGTTCCCGATTGGCACTTTCTTAGTTAGTTGAGTATTGCGTCTCGTATCAGTTATACAGTGTACCCCGCTTCGCCGACTCGTTCTTGAAAAAATGTTTAAATCATACTTATAACGTAACAAAGGTGACAGACTAGGTATCCTGACACTATACAAACTGAGATTTGTGTCAATCACGAACAAGCATTGCTCTTGTTGATGTTAATTTTCCGACCCGGGATAATATAACGGAACGCACGGAATTATGGGTCATTGAAATGTATGTCTATCTAAAATTGTCCACAAATAAGAATCAGTAAGAGTCGTAAAGACCCTTCCGGAATATTTCCTCTAACATAGGCTATATGGTTAACGGCATCCTAGATATGTTGATAACTGTAAAATTGATCAAGTAATGGAGAGACTGTACATTGTGTATCACACTCGAGGGCAGCGTCTTCAACTACATGTTAGCGCCATGTAGGTTATAATGGGAGTTTTCAGATACTAAGGAGGGCAATAGAGTGGATTAGTAAATAGGTTTTAGTTGATTTGTAATCTTATAAAAATAGTTGCAGTTTTCTCGAGAACGACGATTTACAAGTGGTTCTAATCCTCTTTCCGAATATAATGATCGTCTACTAACATAAAAAGGTAACCGGTAATTATTCATGCCATTTCTAAATTAAGTTTTTTCCAATTTGTCTGGATTACCAAGAAGCACACCCGTCCCAAACCTTACAACAGTATTCAAATAATAGCAGAATCAATGATTTATAGATTTAAATGAAATGTTGTCTTTTCAAAATATATCTTAGCATACGGAGGATGCTTACCTGGTTTGATACATAGTTACTGATATATCTATACATATATATATATATATATATATATATATATATATATATATATTAATTTGTTCATCATAAATACAACAGTTTCCGTATTTACCTTGTTTTGGTGTCTGTATCTATCTATATATATATATATATATATATTACTAATACCGTCATTACGGATTTAAAGAGAGAAAAAAACAGCTATCATACGGTAACATTGTATTGAATAATTGCTCTATTTAAAGTATTATATCACGAATGATATATAAATGTAACCACACGATTGCGTATGTATGTCGTCGTACGGGTCAGCCAGTGACATTAATTTTAAGGGTGTCTGGCTCCGTATTTATATAATTTTTAATATATGGCCTTTAGCGTTTTTTTTTCTATTTGCCTTAACCGCTGATCGTTCAGCGTTTTGCACTTGAGTTTTCCGTTAATGTTTTCCCCCGTTTATGTTTTTAAGTTCAAAAAAGTAAATATCTGTTTCTGATTTGCGTTTTCCCGATGGGTTTGCGTTTGGTTCTTTCAGGAACATTGAAAGGCACGCCGACGATGATTTTGCAACGCCGCATCCATCACTTCACAATTATGCGTGACGTCTTACATATTAACAAAATCTATGGGCACGACAATTTACCAAATACGAAAACAGGTTTGTTAACTGTCATGAGTTAACAACTGTGCAGGAACAGAGATCTGATCCTGCATCCACAATTTGACGTCCACGCAAAACTACATTGGCGCGAAGTTTTCAAATGCTTCTGTTTATTAGTTTATGAAAAAAGATCGATGTGCCGAACCTCCCTCAAGTGGTGACAGTGTCCGCGATGACGGAGAAAATATACAGAACTGCAATGATCTTAAGCCCCTAATCATTTCAATAATTATGTTGATAGTTTCCTATTATCGCGGTACAATTCTGAAATTTTATTCCAAGGATGTCACTTTGGCTCCATGTTGATCTACGTTAAGTTAACGCTTTGTACGTCACTTCAGTGTAGCTTTACACCAATCGTTCAGACGATTATGATTTTTAGGAAGCTATTCCAGTAATTAAAGAAACGGGAAACGGACGCCATTCTACTGATTTGTCAAATTGCACTCATATCGACGATAAACACAATCTAACGACCGTTCAGTGGTTAGAAATAAGAGTGGTTTGCTGTTGACCACAATACATAAGGCAAATAACAACTGTATATACTGTACATCGTACGACTATGTAGACTTGGTACAAGTATGTCATCATGTCTTTGCCAAAGTAACTGGGTATTTTTTCAACTTTTCAGATAATTTACAGATTGGCAGTTTAAGAATCAATGATGTCATAAAAGACAATTCAGCATGAAGAACTTAAGCAGAGGCACAAGTGAAATATAGAAGAATCTTGTCCATGATCGACAAATGAGCTCAAGATTAGAAAAAGGCAGCAAAAATGCAAATGAACACGAGACCTTGAAGTGGACGGTATTGTCTTCTATACTCATTTTACAAACGAAGGTGGACAAACTAATTATGAATTAGGAGAGGCAAGCAAAATAGCCCAGCATTCTATTGTATAATTAGAGATGGAAAGGTTTGGACTGTGGAGTTGTTGGGGAATGAAAAGACGTGTATTGTTCTTCGGAGTAGCGATAGCAGTAGTACTGATTGAAGAGGCTGCTTTCGGAATTAGCAGTATGCCACGAAATTACCAGGAGAAAAGTAACCAGGATAGAGGTAACGAGGAAAGAAGCACCAGGAGAGAGGTAATCAGGAAAGATGTAACCAGGATAGAGGTAACCAGGAAAGACGTAACCAGGAAAGATGTAACCAGGATAGATGTAACCAGGATAGAGGTAACCAGGAAAGAGGTAACCAGAATAGAGATGACCAGGATAGATGTTAGGAGAGAAGTTAACCAGGAGAGAGGTAACTTTGAGAGGTTAACATGCAGGAGAGTGGTTACCCAGAAATCGGTAATCAAAAAAAAAGTAGCCATAAGTGAAGTAAACAGAAGAGAAGCAACCAGGAGAGACGTAATCAGGAGAGAGGTAACCAGGAAAAAACCAGACAGGGGTAACTAGAATAGAGAGATCAGGAGAGAAGTAAACAGGGTAAAAGTAACCAAGAGATAAGTAATCAGGAAAGAAGTAACCATGACAGGTAACCATGTAGGAGAGTGGTTACCAGGAGAGAACTAACCAGAAGAGAGGTAACCAGATAGAGAAAAGTAACCATGAGAGGTAACCATACAGGATTGTTTACCAAGAAAGAAGTATTCAGGAGAGAAGTAAACAGGAGAGAAGCAA